AGAAAGTCATGATGGGGATCGATTTGCGCACGAGAAGAGTAAATGTTGATGATGATGACGGTTAGACCCTCTTCGTTGGGTAGGAAAATTAAAGATCATGCAGGGCTGAATGAGGAAATAAAAGACTAAGGTTTTGAGGGATGAGGGGCGGAACAATACAGGCAAGATAACTAAACAAGTGGAATGGAATCATTGGGAAATTGATTAGTTCAGGTGGAAAACCATAAATGTAAAAAGTGAATATACAAGAAAAATCATACACTCAAACTTAAAACTGGGAAAGTGTAAAACAGCCTGAAGTCGCATTGCGACCCATCTAAATGCAAAACTGAAGGTTTCAGCTGGAACTGCAAGTGAACAGCTGGAATGGCATTCGTATGAAAATCTAAGCGAACGGTAAGATTGCCGTGATCAAATAAGGTGATGCGAACTAGAGGTGCATGAAGTGGGTTCGACGTGGACTTCGACAGATAAGAAGACACGGGACATGGGTCGTATGGAAATGTGATTAGGCACATCCTCTGATTTTGTTGGGCGCCATAACGAAAAGAAAGGAGAGAAATTCAGGCACTAAAGCGGCAAAAAAAAAGAACATACAAGATAGTAGAATAGCAAATATAGAAAAATAATTAAAGGGGGGAGAGGGGAATGAACGAACTAACGGGAGAAGGGCAGGTGGACAAAGCGAAGGGAAACGTATGTATGATGATTTAATTGGCCGCTAAGATTATGGGTGGGACGGGTGTTTGCTTTCCGGCAACAGAAACGATTAAAGGATTGACACCGGCGGATAACACAGAAAATAACAACAATAGAGAATACAGCTGCTGGTGATGATGAAAAAGGTGGTGATGGCAAATAAATTTACTGTTTAAATGTTTTACAATAACTGTGTACTGATTTTACGTAGATAATATGGTGCAATGCGCCTTCTGCGGAGTAATGCTGCTAATCGCTTTCAGCAATTTCAAAATATAGATTTTATTCTATGAAATATTATAGGCTTTCTTAGATCAGTCACGATCTTGCTAGATAGGAACAACTACAGTGGCTATCGAAATACCTGATTGATTGTTAGGAAAATCATTCTCATGACCACAGCTTCTGTTATCTATATTTGTTTTTTTCACGCCATAGAAAAAATCTGGTATTATATAAGAAAAGTTTGGGCAAAGATTAATTTACATCTGAAAAAACATGATCTTTTAATTGAATTTTTTTTTCTGAAAGATATACTGATAGAAAGTATTTAAAATTGTCAGTGTCTTTTTATAGTCATATGAAGCTGTAGTAAACAATGCCTGAACTGACCACTAGGCAGACACTATACGCAGCTATATATATATATATATTCTTCTTCATTTATATATAATTATTGACTAGGTAGTATTTGTCCTCTGATGTGATCCTTGGACACTATTGTTAAAGGTCCATTTTTAATCACAGTCAAAATTCGATGCAGGAATGTGCCATATGCTTAATACAAGAGCGAGAAGAAGTAAGGGTCTCCATATCTCCGTCTTTGTTCTCACTCAAATCAAATTTTTTCCAATTTTTTACTTCGTTAATTTAACCAGGACGAACAAGTACGCTATTTTCACCTGATTGCTAGTACCTGTGCACTTCAAGATAGGTCTATTTCCAGCACAAGCCTCAACCTTTAGTCAATTGCCTTCGTAGCGAATTTTCTACAGGATTAGAAAATTTCCTTCCTGAGTTTTTTTTTACGACAAACACGTTTTTTGATTTTCCGTAGCTCATCGCAACTGTCCCCATGAAAGCCAACGTGACGATATTCGGAAGAGTGTTTTTCTATTCCGAGGTGTCCAATTTTATCTCGACTACAGAATCAAATGTCACAAAATACCGAACCGTTAGAAAGGGAAACACCATTTCAAAACACAAAATCGTCAGTCTTGCCCATCTACTAATAGTTCGGTTTCGCTAGCTGATGTTAGCGACACCTAGCTGTCATGTCTGGTAACATTTGCGCGATCGCTGACTAAGGTATGCATAGTGCCGGATTCGGGTTTCGATCATGTTAACTAGAGGAATCCCTTGTGATTTAAAGCAAGCATCAGGTAATTCTTTTCGTACTTGTGTAGATCCGCCTGAGGATCTCAATCTATAAACACCGATTTGCTGACCCGATGTTCATCGATAGATCCATTCGGCGCTAGTCGTTCTATCGTGCTTAATTTATTAATTAATTAAAGGAAACAGGAAACAGTACTTCCGAAGAGTGATCTATAATAGTTGTATATGTACACTTGAGTCTAGTCTTCAGTGGCATAGTAAATGTTTCTATATATTGATAGTGTTAAGTGTTGCTTCAGTCCGTGGCTTCCAGCATCGAACGTTCTGAGGTTAGGCTTCGATTTGATATCGCAACATGGCTTCAGATTTGCGGTACAGACATCTTACAACTACGTTAGTATCCCCATTGACTCATATATATATAAAAGTATATATATATATATATATATAAATATATACATATATCTGTACACACAACCAGAGCTGAACGGTAGACAAAAGAAATAAAGAAAACCTTAGCCGACGCAAGGAAGATGCTGTTGCATCGAAATAAGAAAAGAGACGCGAATATGATTACATTATTATAAGGAGCTTTTTGTCGTTGCGTATTTGGAATCGTCGCCATATATTAAAACAGACCTGCTTGAGTTTTAGTTATGAGTTTTTATTGCTCGCAAATTACGAATTGCCCGTTGTTTGTAGTAAGTCGAATGTTGTTTTTGTGTTGGCTGTATTTTGTAAAAAGACTGGAGCGGCTCCGTGGCCGCTCTGTGGAAAGACAGAAGAAGCTGTTTTAATTTTGCGATTGCATGAGATGCATTATTATTGTGGCGGCAGTAGCAGCTATATCGGTGAATTTGCGTACGACATGCAAGGGTTCTAGCAAACTTGAACGGTTCAAACATTCGTTTCTCGCCAGCCCTAAAATGGGGGCAACTGAATCGAGAAAATCGCAGTCGTGGCTCTCCCTATCCCTCTGTGTGTCATTATACATGATCGAGTGATTGAGCGTTGCTGCAATGACCGTTTCTACAACGATCTCCTTCCTCGTCGCGTGGCTCTTCGGTGTTATTAAACCACCACCGAAGTCACATGAATTATAAGCCCACTAAAGAAAAACTAAGGTGACGAACATAAAAAATAATAATACTAAGAAATATAAAGACAAACAAAGATCGTAGTTAGAAGGATGAAAACAGACAAATGAACAAGTAAAGAGATAATACAGACAACAAACAGATACCTTTAGAAGTGCAGGAAGAGCAAAGGGGCCTTGGACAACAACCAATTGAAATAACAATAATATTAATGCTAAGAGAGGCGATATCAAGATTAATACCAATATATAAGACAAATATGAAAGGCCTTTGCAAAAGGACAAACCTGAAAATGAGAGATAAATAGAATTAATAAGAAGTGGACATAAAAAGAATGAATGCGAGTGATTGTGAAAAACGCGAAAGGGATGATTTTAATAAATAATAAATGCATCGGTTAGTATCAAATGGAACAAGTACAGTGTATTCTTTTAACTACTAATTGTACGGTTTCTTGAAAAAGGTGTTGACAATGAATAGGATCAAGTGATGATCAGTCCAACAGCTTGACATGATCAGTTGACATCTATGAAGTTTTCATCGTTTGCAGACACCTAATTATGTGAATTTCCTTTGTTTGCGCATTGGGCCAGATGGTGCCAAGTGCCAATTTCGTGTAAGGACAATAAAATCTAAGTCCCCCCCCCTCTAGGACAATCCCAGCAATGTCCTCAGATTGATACGTTACTAATAACGAATAATGGATTGGTAACATTTCCCACAGTTCTTTGAATGATTTGTCCTAGGAGTTCGCTTTTCAGGAACGATAATAGATGGTTCGTCTTTAATCCAATGGAAGGACGAAGTAAAATCCGAAACTGCGGATCTTTAATTTGAACTGAAGTGTCAGTTTTCGTGTATTCTAGTTGAAAGTGCTTTAATTGAGGTGGCTAGTCATTAACCTCTGCTCTTCTCTGACAATTAACGGCAATAGCTGCTTGCAGTTGCAATTATCTATTATAGTAGAAGTAAAACTGCAAGAAAACAATGCGTTTAGGTAGTGAATGCGTAGGACATAATGTAGATATTCAGCTTTATAACGCGCGCTTATCTGGTAATAATAGATCTATGGACATCTTTATCTAACGGGAGATTACGGGCCAATTCACTATATCAGAGTCAATAATTTATTTTATATACTTTCATACAGGACTATTTCAATGGACATCGTCTTTCTGTGCTTACACAAGCGACAGCAGGCTCGTGTGCAGGACTTTCATGTATCTATAGTGAACTACTTTCCTCACGCTGACAGAGTTTGCTGGCGGGTAAGATGGCGTTGTCCATAAAAATAATTTGAATAAGATGAGCTGAGTTTTTTTTTGTCTGGTTACCCATACAGTATTAAATTGAATGATCACACTTCCATACAATGTAGAAGTATGCATGGCTTTTTTATCATTTTAAAAGCTTGGCGTTTCCCGTCAGATTCGTTTCTAAGGTTGATGATAGCAGCTTGTTAAGTGAGTTTTCGGCATTCTCGTTTCCACTGCCAAAAAACGAATCAGCACATTTAGTAAACATCAACGCTTTATGTTCCAATGCTATATGTTTGCTATATTCTAATGAATATCACGTTTTTCGTAAAATTCACCCTATATCGGCCGGATCCCATTACCATTTTCGCATATTCAAGAAGTGCACTCTGTGTACTGTCTCTGTCAGCGAATTTACTGGTAATAAATTCACTGGCACCTTTTTGTGTCTATGCGTCGTGTATGTGTTGACTATTCGGTCATGTTCCTTGAACGTTGCGCGTTGAAGAAGTCCAGCGCAAAAAATGTTGATGTGCACTGTCTTAACAGGCTGTAAAGGAGTCGATGGCTGGATGAATGCGTCGTTGTCGTATAGCCCCGCCTCTGCTGATGCGTGGCTAGGCACCGTAGAAAAAAACCGGCCGAGGAAGCAAGCATCTGAACATGCGTTCAAATATTGAAGCGTTCCGAATTTTTCGATTTGCACCTTGTTCTGTATTCTCTTATCGGGCAACAAATTAGACACTTGACAACAAAACACTTACAAGTGTTCCCCCAACCTGTTTTTCGCGGGGTCGAAAGCTCCGGACGATCAATGGTGGAATAAGTCTATTCGGAAAATAATTACTTATGAAGTAGTGTCATCTTGAGTCTTTTGGGGACTTGATTAGACGTTTCAGCTTGTCAGGTAAGCTTACAACTCAGGCTTGAGACGCCACCAGTGATTGCAACGCTCTGGCTATTGCTCGAGTTTCTAATAAATAACTGTGTCTGCCTTGTGATAAGCGTTTTCTCACAAAACAGTATCAAAATCTATCAACGGTTGGTTAGGTATTATAGTAATGGTTTGGTAAATGCTGGGACACTCTTTTTTTAGGTAAAAGTTCAGCTTTATTGTCCCAACTGCACAGTTATAGCATTTTTATTTCTTTATTATTATCATATTTAGTAATATAATCGTGCTGCTCTCTTTGTTTGCATCAGTAGTGAGCGACACGGCTCTGATTCATCGTGAGAGCATTTACGACTCATAACTGACAAATGAGGTCCATTGAAATTCTTATATAAACACTCGATACAGAGGATAAAAAAAGCTAGTATCCATTGAATATCACACCTAAGGCTTGATAAGGTACACACTGGATAATGAAATTCGGTAGGAGTAGTCACGACTTACAAAACGACTACGACTACGAAGTTTGGTTAATTGCCAACTTCTAATAAATGATAAATTGAGAAGCTAAAATCATTTTAGCTTGTAGAATCACTCTCTATTTAACCGGAATGTGTTAACCCTTTAGTATGTTTTATTTGCTGGAGAAAGTGCCCCTAAAATTGGGAAAAACGCATTGGTGTCACCCTTTTTCCCACAGCAGATCTGAAAATACTGAGCGTATAATGTAGCTAAGAACATGGCCCTTTTATTCTCAGCAAATACTAGTTGTCCTAATGTTTAATGCTACGGTAAGGAACTAAAAGCTATACACTATACGAGCGACAAAAATGCGACTTATAAAATAGGCAGACAAAATTTTAAAGAATTAATCAAGAGAGCTTACCTTTACGTGTGTTCAAACTTATGGAGTTATACATTATAATAGAAACTAAATTAAGCTGTAACGGTATATGTTCGGTAAATAATACAACTTAGAACACACATCTTACCAAGTGCACAGTAAGTTTTATGATGTTGACAAATGGAATAAAAATATCGGAAAAACCGATGGAGACTGCAATAAGCTTAAAGTGCAACGGCTAACGTATGACCATAATGGTTAAAATCTCTATTTTCTACGATTGTTTTATGGTTCATTCTAAACCTGTTTTTTGATGCATCATTTTATATGTATACTATCTATATCTTAATACAAAAAAAATTTTACTAACTGCAAAAGCATAGGTCAATGACAGTTCCTTCTATAAATACGTGGGAGGAATTTGGTTTCTAATGCGTTGAAAATACAATGATAACCGAATCCGAAATAATATACGTAAAGCTTTTTAAAATGAAATCCATATATTTCTCGAATCTAGAGATGCTTTCTAAATATTTTTTTTGTACATAAAACTCTTAGAGTCATCCTAGCACCTTGATAAAAAAAAAATACAGTGCCTCTTGTAATAGCATATTTTTGCAAATAAATAAATAAAGAATTAAATTATGAGCCTTCTGTCTTTCACCTATATTACGGCTGCGGCCGCATTGAGTGTGGATTCGAATGAAGCATGGTTTTAGACCTAGGGCATAAGGGCACTGCCGGTAAATCATTCTGTTGAAAGAGTGTTCGAAAGATCTATGTTCTCAGTAAAACCCAACAATAAACTCCACAGTCGGGGGCAAACGTTTCTTGAGTTGAAATATATAATATTAAAGTTGGTTTTTACAAGAAAACAATTATGCGAAAATATTCTAAATATTTTGTGCGAGTTCCCTAAATAGGAAAGGAAGTCATTTCCATTTTGATCTAATGATCCCTGAGACCCATAACTGACATAAATTAGCAAAGCTGATGCTTAGTAGCTTCAACAAGACTTTGACAATACATTGAGTTTATCAATAACACATTAAAGATCTATAATGTGTTAAATTGTAGTGCGTGACCCAGAACTCATCTTTCCATGATTCATATTAGCTAGTTCATCAATGGACACAGCCGTAGGCGATACTACATGATACACTAGCAGAACTCTAGATGGCCGTTAGCACCTTTAAGCTGGCCAGAAATTGCCATCCATTGTTGTGAGCTTTTTCAATTAAATAAATTTACCAGTCTATTTACTCAGTGGTCGTTGTTACAGGGTAGCAAATAACGTTAGAAAAGTATTTTATGATACGGTCTTATGACCAAATACTGAGACGTTACTAGATCCACTATAACAAGTTTATAAGCTGCTTCTTTTGAGGCTAACATCCGAACGGCCAAAAAAAGCACATGACAATCTCATATGGGCATATGTTTCCGTGCGTTTGAAGTAATTCGGGTATTGAGATATTAGAGACCCGATCATCCTATTCGAAAGATTTGACTCTCGGATTGTGTCACAAGAGCGCTATGCATATCGTATTGTTTGTCATCAGATTATCAAATATTGATACGCTCGACTAGACTGCAAAATAAATCATGCTTTAGCTAGGACTTAAATCAGGAGATGGTCATTAATGTAAGAACAGTTACAAGACTACCTCAGCATTTAAGTCCCACTGCAATCGAGTGGTGCCAGTTGCCAATCTTATTACATAATTACATTCTCTTGACTAGACCAAGTTTCGCTCAAGTAAAATTTGCAAAAACTGATATCGTAGATTCGACCAAAAACTAGGCTGAACTTTATAAAACATTCCGTTCATGGTTAGACCAGCCTTTTTGTCCGTACAAAGTCTTGCCAAAATAGACTGAATGAAACTCTGTAAAGACGAGACTGCGTCCTCTACGTGCTCTTATCTTAATAGAAAAAAAACAAGACACATAAAAACCAAGCATACGCTTATTTCATATATTTACAGTAATCCAGTAACAAGAAATGAATGAATGTGCATATGTCTGCTGTCGCAGACATGTGTTTACATAAAAGGTACAGATGTGCACTAAATGTTTCGAGTAGCACGTCCGGTAGTGCCGTGGGCATTCCATAACCGACTGGCTTTCAGAACGAAGCGAAGTCCTCAGATTCGAACAAATGTATATCAGATTAGATTCACTTGAAACCATTTTAAATAAGGTTATAACGTAAATTTAAGAAAAATAACCGAACGTAAATTTTCTATAGCTTTATGCCAACGAAACGATTCGGTTTTTTTGTATTTGATTATTTTGAATTCCCATTTTCATAAATATATATTTGATGTGAGAAAATCAATAGAGTCATATAGACCTTACAGAAAGATTTTTACTGAAATAAGTTAATGATATGAGGCGAAACTAAAAGGAAAGCAAAACAGAATTCTTCTATGTTCGACATTGAACCTAAGTTTCGTTTCTTCTCCGCTTAATACACTCGTTCTTCGTCAGGTTACAATTCGTATTGCTATTAATTATAAACTAGGGGGTATCTGCAATGGTCAGGAAGCAGAGATCACAAATGAGGACACTGAGGTATTTTAGGTATAAAATGTTTCCCAGGCGTTTTCTGCTGGACCCAACCGAATTTCGTGCCCAAGTAGAATAACTTCACCCTGAAAACAACGTCGTGGTTTTCATTTCGTTAAGTTATATTTTGGATGTATATAGGGGCACTATACATTAAAGAACGATAGTAGTGAGTTGTAGTCGGCTTTGCCAAAATGCCATATGATATGTCGGATCAAAAAGCGCGCGGATTCAGTTAGCTGGGTATCGAGTTACGTCTATTATGCCGCAGTGGTCCACTCTGGTCTACTGGAAGCGCGCCATAATTCAACCTGAAAAGAACAGGCCAACTCGTTCAAAGCATTATGTAATTATAACATAGAAAGCGAGCTCTCGAAACGAGTTCTGGTTTCTTCTGCATTTGTGGTAGGCTACCATTTATTAATGCTGCATTAGTAACGGGAATAGAATCAGCATTTTTACCCAGGCAGCTTACGCTAAAAAAAAAAAAAGCTTTTGTCACGGTACGGCGTAGAACAGTCCTCAACTGAAAATACTGAAAGCTGTTACATGCTTTCATTGTTAGTTCAGCAGACCAGCGAGATTTTTTTCGAGATTTATGTAAATTTTTGTTCATGCTAACAGAATTCTCTATAGCTGGGTAGCCCATTTGTCATGTCTCGAACGTGCTCCTTCTCTCTACGGAAACTTTCACTAATTTTATCTGCAATAATTTAACGATTGCTTTCCTTTCAGTACCAATTTATATCAGAACCGTTATCGATATATATACATATAAATAGATTACTGTCTCACTTACACTTCAGACAAAACGGACATGTTTCTAATAGCGAAGGTCATCTTAGCGTTTGTACTGGCATACTGTGGCCGCATAGTGTCTGCTGTTAAAACTCCAACTACGAAGTGCGTGCTTGATCGCTACTCTACCGTGATAGACAAGGAACAACGATTTATTCGTGCGAAGACCAGCAAATTATACAACTGAACTGAGAATTACTGACTAGGCAATACAAATGTCCTGAAGAGTGGAAATATACGTAAATTCAAAATGTGACTACCTTTTAGTTTGGCTTCTGTGGCTACAAAGTAACCCTAGAGGCTGCGTAAGCATGGTCTCACAATATCAATTTGCCACAAAATGTTATCTATACAAATATTTTGAAGAATTAATTAGAAAATAACTAACAAGAGATAATAGTATCTCTAGATAGTAGTATATGAAAAAATATTGACTATCGATCCGTACGAATTAAGAGCACAATGTTAGGTGGGCAATAGTAACAACGATATATATATTAGATATACGATGTACAATACATATTATTTGTTTTTGTATGTAAAATTTTCCAGTTTTCCTGGTCTGCTCTTGCAGTTTAGTACACGGCGCCGAGCAGGTGCTCTTGATCCTGAATTCGACTATTCTAGAAAAGAATAGAGTAGTTCCAATCGTGATTTTACGATCGTAAATGTGCAAAAGAAAAACTACAAATCTATCTCAGTGCTCGTAGCAACCAGCTGACCATAAAACCGCTCAGCAGCAACTCGATAACCAATAGGTAGACACCTTATATATGCTCATCATTATAGAAAGTCTGGTCGCTATCTACCGCAGCTCTCGTATGTCTCATATCTCATTTACCATTTCGCCTTAATCGCCATATACATATGTCTACATGAGCCTAAAATATATATTCTAACTTACTTAATATTTAAGCTATATAAACTACGAACTTGCCGCACTGAAATTAATTACTTCGGTAAGAACATTTGATAACATTCAGACGCCTGAGTGGCAAGCGGCCCCGTTGCATCACGCCCCAAAGACTTTATTAACATAAAGCTCTTTCAAGCTGTAAATAAACATACAGGACACCCCCACTAGGCTTTTTTTTTTTATTAATAGAACTTATTTCTCGCCTCAAAGTAAATTATAGAGATTCTTTTGCATATACGTTATTACGACAAAAGGATCTGAAGACAAAAACAGGTTACTATATTATGAGTAAGTTCCGGTTCCAAAGATAGGACTAATGCAACGCGCTCATCTGGACCTCAAAATTTCTATCTTAGAAGGTATCAACCGAACTGCGTTTGTCACGGTTTGCAGTAGATGGGGGCAAAGGTTAAAGAAGCACATATAATAAATGTATTTTTATTGTCCGACGCCCGTAGTTATTTTTGAAAGTCTGCGATAGTGTAAGTTTTTTTTCAACTTTGCTTTGACAGTCAGATTTTTATCTAAAAACTCAGAGATCGCTAATTAAGAGTATAAACTCTGTAGCAATCCTAAACTTTACATTCTCTAAATATATAATACAAAAATTGATCAATACTAACATTGATGTTATAATATCGACCCTTTGAAGTAGACTTCCTTTCCTACTGGAGCTTCCAAAGCTAATCATCGATAATCTCGTTTTGATTCGTAATTTTTCTCCGCTCACAACTTCAAGTTTTCAATAAAGGGATTCAAGAAAGCACAGATAATGCTTCTCAGAATTTTAAGACTTTTTAGTGTGGTTTTAGACAATTGATGAGTAAAATACTCACGCCGGCTAATTTGGAAAAGATTTCCATTCCACCGATAATATGCGACGATTAATTTTTGTTCGATCATTGTAATTCAATGGGTGAATGCGATTCAAAACAGATAACCTAGTATAATGTCTTTCACGTGTTTTTTTGCCTTAGACTTTTTTAAGTACTGAGCTCTCGTAAATAACGAGCCAGGTGTTGTCCGGTTTTTGTATTTACACATACCTCTTATACAAGATCTAATCATGCTATTACATATGAGATGTGATTTTTGAAATTATGGACTCTGTTCTAAATAAAACACCGTGTCCAGTCATTTCCGACAAAACGTTACAAACACTTCCGGTTGCGTTTAGTATATTACAATTGAATTCAATTCGTTTTTCGTCGATTATATTTGGGAATAGAAAAATAACCTATAAGGGCAGAACGCCCGTTAACCCTGCTGATGTTTCTCCTTGATTGTTATTATAACTCTCTGCACTAAAGTGCATATATAACAACGAATATGTATGACGCGCCGTGAAGTCTTCTGATTCTTTGTCTACCTTAGGTTCTCCGTTGAAGCGATGTCCTAATGTTTAGCCGAAAGTTATTCATGATTAACGACATACAAGGAACGTGCTGTTGTGATTCTATTAGCGTTTGTTTTCCAGGTTGCCCCCTGTGTGCTGCCGAGTTTTGCCGGTACGCGTTTTAACCAAACGGGGATTGAACGACTCCTTACCTTGGACGGTGCTATTAAGAACAAAGATCGATTGGAACCATCGTATTCTTTCTCTGCGAGGATAAATCGGGCGTTGGATAACGGAGAGTGATTGCAGGACAACTGAGGTTCTGGTCGATGTCTCCGTCGTTGTTAAAGGTTCGTCGGGGAACTTGGAAGGGGTACTAATGTATTTGTCTCAATGATCGGTCGTCGGGACTCAGTATCTTTAGAGGGAGGTGGTTCTCTTCAGTGTTGGCTACTATTAAAAGCGAGTGAATAATTCGGCAGTGGCTTGGTTTTGTTCTTCTAGCGGTATCATGATTTCTTTATTGCCATACAACAATATGTATAATAATTTCACAATTAAAAATATAGTTATTACTCGTATTTATTAATATTATATAGAAAGGTGTACGATTATGTACAACAACACGTATAGTAATACCGACAATTAACAGTAAATTAGTGACTCTAGTGGTTAAGGTACCGAAATTAAGACGCTATTTATTTAAATTAAATTTAAAACTCATATGATGTTAACAGATCTCGACATTTCCATATTTCTGCCATACGTCTATAGGTGTAATGGGAAAAATTACTGTTTCCCTTTTCCCTTTTTATATATGTATATATTTATGGAGGGGGAGAGAGCGAAAAGCCGAGAGAGACAGCGAGAGAGAGAGAGAGAGCGGCGTGCAAAGGAATGCTTATTGTTGACGGATTTAAAAGACGGGAAAGGATGACTTTTTATGACTAAAATTCCGTTGTACATTTCAAAAAGCATTTGCTAATCATATAGCTTAGGTCAGATTTTATTTATTTTTTTGTCAAATGTCGCAATGTGGGAAACTCTGTTCTTTTAAGTTGAACTTCGCCCATCTAAAGACCCTTTGAAGACTGAGCATAAACATTCATCGGTTTGAAGGGATCAGTCCCCGTAATGGTGCAATGTTAGCGTTCTTGCCTACTAAATTTAAGAACACGTGATGGTCTGGATTGGAAATCAGGCATACACACACTTCGTTTCGAGCTAGAAACCAGTTAGGTGAAGTATTGATTAACGGCAGTATCAGGCTTAAAAAAATCGGGCGTGGAAAGCTTAGAAAGTTGGTTTTAGTTACTTTCTTAGACATGTTCGTTTCCCGATTTCTTCAAAGTAGATTCTGTGTATGCGTGCAAGCTGATAGTATTCGTGTGACTCCCTGCAAGATTTCTCCCAGAAAACCCTAACACCTTCGTCGTATTTTAATCTCTTGAGGGCTGATATTCTAGCCCCGAACCTGGACGGCTGCAGTGCCCTGATTTGTGTCAACGACGTTCTATCGACACCTCGGGAAGATCCTTGCTTATAAGGCTTTGGACGGAAAAGTGAATCAGGGCCTGTAAACATTTTAGAACTGGCGCCTGCTTGATTCTTTGGTTCTCAATACTATGAAGTCACCTGTTTTTACGCCGTTCTAGCATATCTGTTCAAGTGCCAGTCTGCTGCGTGGGCAATGATTATCTAACGTGCCTGGGACTACGTTCGAAAAGTTTCGACATATCGTGTTCATTTTAAAGATAATATTAGAGACGTCTTGTTTGCTGGCCAATCCTCTACGTCTGGAACCTTGAGATATCGGTTAAAGAGTTTAGATCTACATCTTGTATAATTATCTGCGTTCAGAGTATGACGATCCATCATGGTACTCTCTAACGCAGCCACGTAAGAGACTTTCTGAAGGCGCAGTGACGGTCAGATTACGCCCCCTCTGGTTCCATTCGGAATGAATGATTTTGTAGGGTTAACAAAAAAGAGAATTTTGGTTAGATATAATAGCAGTTTATTATCAATATAATTTGCAGTAATTATAAGCAAGCTGTAAAAATTTAATTGTACGATTTCGAAACTTTCAAAGCAGAATGAGTTTTGTCTGATTTGTAACTAACTGAATAGTCGGTTCTTTAAACAAATAAGCCAACTAAATTGTGAATTTTTTATTTAAAAAAAAAAGGAACTAAGTTCAGATAGAACATCGTTGCTTAAGGTGTACTGAGCACGCTAAATAAAAAATCAGGCCGATGCTAGTATATTATGACCCTTCGTCGATAGGTGCCATACATCTGCTGCGATAACAGCACAAAGTTGGCCTATTCAAAGGAAGTAAAATTTAATACTGCAGAGCAGGACATTGGGCAGTATTCATCTTTGTTTAATTATGTTCTTCTTTACTTTGATACGTATTTACATGGTTATTGATTTCGGCGCAAAGCTGCGAGTCCCAAACAAACAGCTATATTTCTAAAAAAAAAGAAAGGTGTTGAAAACATATTCGTTTTTAAATTCTGGCTGTCCATCAGCTATCACACAAATCTTTAAGCCTAACATGACTGCATCTGGCTTTTCTTTTCTAACAAAGCGCACCCATTGGTTGGTTTTTATAAAGTGTTTGTATTGATAATATATTATCGTTATTTTATAATATTACTTGATGTGGGCCAAAAAGCTGAGTACTGTAGCGGTCCTACTATACCTCTATCGAGTTTTACGTTCTCGCCGTTTTCTTCCGTTAAAGCATCCCATCCGACGGCTGGCTTCCAGGTTCCCAGGTTCGAGACTGGCCTTAGACCACAACGTGTTCCTAAGATTAGAAGACAAATACGTTAGCCACGAAGCTATCACGAGGACTTATACCTAGACGGGGACGAGAAGACTATACTTAGAGCAGAGAGAAAAACAGTCCAACGCTGCTCTATTGGAATAAAAGTGCGCGTCTTGATAGTGTATGTGTTTTATCATACATGTCGATGGTTTGTTAGTCCTGCATTGCTTCCTAGTATTCACGAAAAACATTATACTCCATATTTAGTATAAAATCCTTCATTTTAATAACAGTGCGCGCAGTTTTTACGGCGGCTCTCATTATACTGCCACCCTGTCGTTGCCTTAAGTTCGATTATAGGAGCTTAGAAGTTGATATATTTATTATATGAAGTTTTTCCGTTTTCAAACCGTTCAGTTACCGCGAAGAGTTCACTTGCCGCTATTAGCACGGTCAACAGGCTTGCGTCTTCTGCGTGTCTTGCATCAAATTTATTCTTACCCTTCCCTCAGATGCGTCAAGTTTTTAAAGTTTGGCCGGCACATTTGCAAACAATGGAAAAATCAGTATGACAAAAACAGAATATTATGTTAATAACAAAGCTAAACGCCCGGATGATTTTAGCGATGTATTTGAATTAAATTGAAAGTAGGGCTTATAACGACACTTAATTCAAGTGTGGTTTCTGCCCCGGAAATAAAGAAACCAATCAGAGTCATATTGCTTAAATGATTGGAGTAATTAGCTCAAATAGCGACCGTTTTGATTTGAGATCGTACATGTACAGTTCATGAACGACACTTATCGAAAGCATTTCTGTCATACTTAAAATAAACGTTCAGAACGGAAAAGGAACCATACAGAAGATCATTGCAATACTCCGATGGGCATTTTTCCCATTTGTTATCAGCGTATGCGTTATGATTGAATAAACTGTATAAAAAAAAAGTAAGAAATAAAATGACAGATTTAACACAAAGTGTTCTATTCACTAACAGCAATTTCAAAGTATTTCGAGAACGCAGAACGTCCCACAAATATAAGCAGTAAATTATTAAGTCTCTAAATTCTATTGCAACAGATTTACTTCTAGCTGTACAAACTTAACATGGAATAAAAATTATCATGATTATTTGATTCGTAAAATGGTCCCATATAAGAGTGCATTATTATCACTATTGCTTATGAGTTTAAGTGCCAAGCAACGCGTGAAGAGGAGTAACTCAAGGTCCAACGCTATTCTAAGTAACAGTAGCACGTATTCCAAGAATCAGCTAAGTAAATGGTGTTATCGATGCGTTCGCTCAGTCAACAGCGTGTTTTAGTCGACACAGCATATGAAGGAGAAAAAAAGTCAGCTTAAATGTTACGCTTTACAAGGCGTGAGCTCAGTGCTACCTCAATATTAGCCAACGTGGGAGGTACTACAATCACCACTGTATCTGACCGAACACCCGAAGACACTACCCATCCGCAAAAATTGTCAAGATCGATTGTTATTTTGCAACGATCACAACGAAAATCATTTATAATCGTATTAATGAAATCTAATATATGGTGAATGATAATGGCTTTCATTTCCCAAGCTACCCACGTTATTAAACGCAAATCTCGGATTTTTTTTTCGACTCTGCACTGAGTGGATACGCCATAGTCGCTACAAACGTATTCCAATAAAGTTAATCTACCTTGTTACTTCAATTGTTGAAAAAGTTCCAAATAACGAAGTTTGCTATAGTCAGAAAATACAGTTATTTATTGATATTTAACATTCACATTTACATATAGTTACAGTACTATCATAAATAGCTCGTTAGCAAATAGCTTGATATTTCTGAACACTTTGCAAAGCTTCGCCTTGACGATAAGGTTATACCACGTGTGCACTGTGTTTTTTTTGTATTGTTTTACATGTACAATGCACGAAAATACACACACCCACACGTACACACATTTTAGCATTCGTTAGAGTCAGATTATTGCTTTAAGGGTGCTCCTTTACTGTCAACAGACAAGGCAGGCGGTCAGGATTTTCAGTAACGTCTGTCGGATGTGTCAGTTTAACTGCGGAATAAGTACCGGTGATGGTCAGTATCCGCAGGGCCGCAGTGTGTAATATATAGCGTCATGAACTTATTACAATAACGTTATATATTATTAAACAAAAATAGGTAGAATTATTATATGTTAACTATGTTGTATCACTTTACCAGAACAAGTAAGTCCCTCGTTTGAGTAGTTTCACTCCTAAGCTCTATTGAGAACAAATATTCCGTGATATCTTCGTGATAGTGGTGCAATTATGTGTTTGCCTACTAAAGTCAGGAACACGTGGTGGTCTAAGTACGAACCCGAGCGTATACACGTTTCGTTTCCTGCTCGGGGGTGGGGGGTGGGGGCCTTGAGAATAAAAACAATCATGTTAATTAAAATAACATATTCTTTCGATTTTGTTACTGTTCTTATTACGAGAGTAATATGTTTTTGCCCGTATTAGCCAGCTTTGGAACTCTAACGATCGAATATAGTGAATATGTTGCATCTATATTGACGACGTCATTTGTTCATGCCCATATGGTATAAGTAGCTGATTAAGGAAACACAAAAGAATCTCTCCATATCATGTAGTAAGAACGCGACCGCTTTTATGCTCTGTGGTAATGACTATTTACTTCGTAATCCTTCTGCTGATTTTTTAATGATATATGTTTAGCTAAATAATCGTGTTTTCTCAACAGTCTTTATTCATTTCGCTCAAAATGCAGCTATGTGTCCACGAAATATGGACACGTAAGCATCACAAATTAATGCCTATGTAGAAAAACACTTCCAAATCATTTCATTAGAGGTTTAGTAGTAGTTTCGTCTTTGCCAAACAACGTAAGTAAATTCCTAATGAAAAAATATAAACATAAATAACAGATTTTTAACATTCCAGAGAAAAATTTCTGAATAATTTTGTTTTCTATTCAAAATGAATTCTATCGAAATGTGCATGATGCAAAAATGCCCGCGCCATTCCTGATCATTTTCCTTTTTAGCTGAGTAATTCTAGGTAGGTATAATTTACAACATCACAATGTCCCGGCCGATGATTGAACTCGAAGCTCTATTTTCGCAAATCCTACCCCGTTTCGTGTGCGGTTCTATCGTAATAAAGCTTTATTAGGTTCGAATGAAGATTCAGAACTCATCATTATTGTAACAAGTGCGCAGCATCGTTGGTGAACAACCATCAAAGCCGTTGAGGTGCACAAGGGTATATCTTCGGTAAAAATAAACATCGCAGATTTACCTGTTTTTATCCGCCGCCACCATAAGCCCCTACGCGGCTTGTATATTCTATTTTTGTAAAAAAGCAGATTTCTGTATTTGCGTAACGAAACAGTTCAGCTCGGACCTATTTGGCACAGTCGACTTAGAGAAGTGAGACTTCTAAGAATATAGATATTCATAATGAATAAATTTATCTTGTCTTAATTAAATGCTTCTCTCTTTACGAGAGACAAGCGCCTAAAACCAGTGCAAGCAGATCACTTGGTTCCCTATTAAAGAAAAAAAAAAGCTTAATCAGTTAGAACTGTATTTTTATTAATAATAATATTCAGACTACATCCAACTACATCGCACTGGTTGAACTGGCCGTTGAACACCGCCCACAGAAAGCGCGGGAACTCTGTAACTGCTAACTCTGCAGTAAGCAATACTGCTGCAGATTTATTACTGATAACCTAATAATCTTGTATATACACAGTATATACAAGTATATATATATAATACAGTAAGTTGACCTTAGCCATGATTACAATAAAAGTTTCCGTAAATGTAAAGAGAACTATGACTAAATTAGGTAACTGAGCTCAAACAATGTACTTTGGCGGAAAACGTGTTACTTAAAAATTAAAGTCATAGGTAAAAATCTCGTCCCTTCTAAGGATAATGTCGAGGCAATGATCTAGGAAGTTCGAGATCGGCTGAACTGATGTGCCGTCCTAACGTCTAACTCCGCTTCTTTTCTAAAACACAACTACCAGAAAATACGACTTTTGAATATGCTAAGAATCAATTTGTGCCTCGTGTTGTCATCCGTAAACCATACGTCATCTTGACTGAGAAAATTCATTCATCCTATAAGAAAAGATTATTTAAGTTGAATTAAGCGCCGCAACATGTAATGATGTTGTAACTAGGTTAGCAGTTGCTTTTTGAGCAGTTGAATTGCGGCGATACACACCATCTGCAAACGGGCCCTCGTGACTAGGTCGACCATCACCGAATACATACGTGGAAAACACCGCACGCTACGTTAGGTTCTTAAAGTACACCGACCTAAGCCCAACGAAACGAGATCTTTTTTAAGATATCGCGAAAGTAATTATTGCCAGAACACGCCATTAAAGAACGGTAGTATAATTGAGTTACATGAAGATCACCCGGCAACCGGATCCGAACCAATAACCTCACTCGATCGCATAAGGGTCTCTATAAAGGTATTTCGGAGTAGTTCACCGACACCAGCTCTGCAGTAGAAGATTTTAATGTTTTCGCCATTAGCCAAAATTCGTTTTTCTCTCTCTTTGTGCTGAACGTGTCTGTCTCATTTTGATTCACATTACGTTGTACCGTTTTTCGTTTTTATACAACTTAATAGTGATGCCTGTTACTTGAGTAGTTCGGTTTACTACGCAATTGAATCGCACAGCTTTCATTGTCGTCATGTAAAAGTTGTGCGGTGTGTACGCCAGGTGTTGTTGTGTAAACTGTCGTAAACATGAATGGGCTTTATAGATTATTCTTCTTGCACTGAACTTATGAGGACAATTCGTCTGCGATTACCTATTACCTGTGCTGTTCACCTTTTGCTATCGAATCAGCGGGATCTACTCAATCTGACGTCACGCCGTCGTTGATGACGCATCGCCGCGAAAACGGAAGCCGACTGTTGCTGAGAGCTGAGATATTCACACCAATCATGATTCTGTGTGGCTACTCATCCTCTTTGCTAGCTTAGTATGGTGGCAGCAGCATCGAGACGTCCTGACGATTAACAAACGAGTGCACAACGGCGGCAAGGGCAGTTGACAAGAAATGCGCGGTAAAGTGCCTGCTAGTCACCGTCATCATCATCGTTGCCAGCAACAGCAGTGACTTCCAACAATTCAGGGGTCGCCGTCGTCGTCGGTCGATGGGAAAGAGCGTTGCGGTCATGTTGTCAACTGACAATACAGGAAGTCGATCTGTCGTTCGCGTTGCTCCGTAAGTGATGCAGTAGAACTGTTTGTATCAGCAAGTCAATTCTCTGCCGTCACCCAAAACACGACGCTGCCACCGTCGGTCTCCACACGTCATTCACAATGGATTTAGTTATCTTCTAGAAAAATTGTCTTGAAAATATTGCCTAGCTTATTCTGTGATAGAACGACTTATTCGAACGGTTTACGGCATAGGCTAATATCAGATTGGGAGCGTTTCATATAAAAAATTATATAAGTATAATGTAGAATAGTAATAAGCGACACATTAATAATGGCTACACATTAGCCAATTGATGCATATTTTAAGCAGCACCAAAATCTTATATTTTGGACCGCGCGCGGTGTGGCAGCCATCAATCGTGGTAGTCCACGTTTGGCCCTTCAATAACGCCACGTATTCGTGGCACGCCAGAAATCCTGCCGCTCTCACTGAAACTGTTCGCTCGCCCAGTTCTATCTATCACTGTGCTTATGTGCACCGACGACTGCGGCATCAGCGGGTGCACAGGTGCGCACCGTCATCAGCAAGCCAACAGAAGACTAGGTGGCTTTGTAAAGGCGACATCTAGCGGCTTCGCGTCGAAGCCAATACCGCAGTAGTGTCGCCGAAGACGTCAGTCGACCGCAATTATACACTCAGTCACTCACCTGAACATAAACATATACATATATTTGTGCGTGTCTATGTTTATCTACTTACAGCCATAGTAGTTGTTATTGTTATTAACCGAATCTTGCGTCGTGACTCGCTGAACCAACTAAAGTAAAATAAATAGACAATAAGAACTTTCTATTCGCATAGTCCATGTACATACCGTCGACTTCGGTAATTAAGAATATACATGCGTTACACACAGAGACATATTTCCGTTGAGGTGAATGAAGGTATGTGCCAACGGCTTGAGCATAACCTAAGTATACCACTACAGCGAACTTTTAGGTTGTGTTTCGGAATTATTAATATTATTTAATGTTTTCCCTTTCAAAATTGCCTCATGTAATCAGCTGCGTACTCTGACAACTTCCTGAAACACATCCATAGCAAGAACTGTAGTAAATCGATAGATTCGTCTTTAATACGACTTAGCTTCAAATAAGCTCGTTATTATGTCGGTAAAAGTAATAAGTATCAAACTATTTTTTCTTAGTTTCACCATTTTATCACTCATATCGTTTATTGTCGAATGTAAACAAGCTAGCTTAAGACGCCATTGGGGTCTTTTAAGTAACTGATTGTCTAATTAAATATCTGTTTCTTGTCACATGATAGAAAAATAGAGAGAGTATCGGTAGCTCCACTGGAAATCGGAAAAAGCATAAGTAGACGGTATCGAAACATTTGGGGTGGTTTCAGCTATCATGTTCTGCTTTCTTGAACATACTTGAGAGTTTAGTACGGCTAAACCGATATGATACGATAACAGTACTACCGCGTACTTTTAGTACATGGAGTTTATGTTGAACTGGGACGACCCTTTACTCTAACATTGCGATACATTTTCTTCGGGAACTCTATTGTCCTATTAGGCTTTACTGAAAATGTCTTGTTTTTTTTCTTCAGTAGAATGGTAATGCCTTTTGTGTACGCATAGAGAAAGAAAAAAAAACTGCTTACAGTTCCGTTTCAAAGCTTTTGCTTGCTGTGTACTGAAATTGGGCTAAGGCAGTGACGGCGCTCAAAAGATAGCATATACATATACAGTAAAATGGGTGTGGCTTAACTATATAAAAACCGAGCACAAAATAATAAAGCAGTTCCCGATGTTGAATGCTACTTATCTACAAATTTCGGAATATGCAAAGATACCTGTTAAAGCCATATTTCGAAAGAAATAAATCTGTAAATAATGCTCATTTGGGAGGTCAATAAAAGCCATAACAGTATCGAATATGCGCACAATTTCCGGTGTAAACGTGGGCGGCTTTGCTGCTAGATTGATAGGAGGTTTCGTATTTTCCACACTAAAGTGATTTACCTATGCTTGTCACATAATGTTTATACTCTATCTAGGACACTTGCGAACTAATTTATACGGCAAACATGAACTAATCCTTAGTTCTATAGAAAGATTTTTAGATGTACTTTATAGACGTGTTGTAAATATAACCTAATTAATCTGATGGATTACATTGAGAAAAAGACTTCGCATAAAACACAGAAGAACAACGAAGCAAGTTAAAAACCTGAATTTTCATAAAACGAAAGCGTCGGCGATACGATATCGAATATATCTTGTCTGATTTATTTTAATTATAATTAAATTTCACTTTTACAAGAAAGCAAGAGGACCCATTCTCCGCCCTTCCTTTGGAAACCTTTCCTTCTTTTTGTATACAAAAATGTCGAAAACAGAAGTGTTTTTCAAGAAATTACTCATGTCTTAATTCGACTAGTGTAAAACGACACCTCGGAAAATTTAACCTAAACAGTTATCAAAACAATTAACTTAGACACTGAGTTAACATAATGGAATCCCCTGGCATCTGCCGAGCTCATTTTAAGTATTTGAGTTGTATAGGTTAAGCAGTAAGCAAGACTTAATTTTCGCTTGGGATCAGCATTTTACATTTTTTATATAGATTTATAAAACTGTTTCATAGACGGCTCATGCGCAGAAGATTAGATTATTACTGTAGAAGAGAAAATGTACCAGAAGAGCAAGTAATTAAGTGATTAAATTAAGCAATCTATATCCGACGAAATGTCTGCTTTCATTCATAGCAGCGAGTTTAGAACGTTAAAGTGTAACAAGTTTTAATGCTCGTTTATCAAGAACCCTATGTTTTCCGAACCTCTCTCATATAATAGAACACAATAATAAGAACGAAACAAATTTTTCATTCAAAAGTTCGCAAGGCGATACGCGACACAGTTTCCGAACAGCTAAATACGTATGTAATAAAAAGAGTCGTCTTCTCCAGAATTGACAAATTCAACCGATTGAAAGATGGTGTGCAACATACTATGAATAAGGTTCCATAGTTTTTCTTCCCATAGTTAGTTTAGAATAAGCATAGCTCTCAGCTCAGGTCACTTGAATCAGAGCATTTTCGTCGAGTATCAAGTGGCGATTTAAAACTGACATTTACGAATGAAATAAAATATTTTATTACTAGCATGATATTTGTAAGAACAAAGCAACAAGCCCTTACTATGGTTACAATAAATAAACGAAATGTAAGGAAAGTAGAAGAAAACGTCTTGGGTTTACTTTCAACGTGTATCAGTCAGTTGTCTAATTTCTAGATTTGGTTGGACGTGAAGTTCGCAATCATGCAGTACAATTTTTTCGAACTTGCGGTTTGACATTGCGTTAGTGAAGTCAATAATCGGTCAATGTCGTCAATTTTATATCTGATTAAATATAGTGTACTACCATGTACGCCGTGATTTTCATTATAATTGCTCCTGATTTCATGTTTCAGCTGGTTCTAGTTTTTTCGCTTTTTCTGCTTCATTGTCCAATTAAACATTAAATTCTCTGGTGATGGTACGTTCTTAGCGGCACTAGCTTTATCAGGGATACTTCGATCGCTGTTGGTGGAAGACCATGGGGAGTAGTAGGAACTGGTCGAACGGAATAGGGGAAAACAAGGGCTCGATGGAGTAGGGGGAGTCGTTAGTACGGGTGAGTTCACTTTTACTGCGAAGCAACAACCCCTCACCGCAACTACGGCAACTGTCGGGAGCCGTGCTGGCTAGCAGGGCGCCTTCGCGGAAGTGTATGACTCACGAACTTACTCACGGTCTCACTCGGTTCGTTTGTTTACTTACTCGCTCACTCAATGACTTACCACGAGGCGCTTTTGCCATACTGGTATATCCAGTATAAAATATTCAGGCGACGACGCAACGACTGTGACGATGGCGGCGGCAGCAGTGTCATTTATTTGCCCCTCTCCCCCGGGGCCGTCTAACTCCGAACTAGAGCCAATGACGCACGCGCGGGTCGCTCAATACCTGCCAGCAACAATCAGAAGGAAAAAAGAAAAATTTAGAATCGCTGGATATGGGTCCGACAGACCTCCTCCCCGGCTGTCGTCTGCGTGTCGGATAGTATGTATCTGTGTGTCTATATCCATCATGTAGTTTTTTACTCTTTCGCTACAACAGTTACTGACTTGGCCTGCCGCCCGTCCGTCCCGGAAAAGCGTCACTGCTCGGCAAGAAAGCACCCAAGTATAACATCCCATCACGGATGGCTATTCCCACAACAGTTCCCCCGTTCTGCACTGGACCAGCGGCGAGGTCGACAGCGACCACAGCAGCCGCCATTACTACGATCATCCGAAATTATCGACAGCGACTGTTATTTGTTAGTTCGCTCGCATTCGGGTAGCACCTGCAATCGACGGTGACGACGAAGTCGGTTACGAGCTTATATGTATAATATATTATTATCATTTTACTCTAGCAGTGGCGATACAGCAAGCTCGGATCCAACCCGTCCACTATCTGCTACGGCGAATCTCACTGTCTGATACTAGCGCACAAGAACTTACCCGTAAAGCATTAGTGACGCATTTATGCACATACGCATGTGTAGACATACGTATAGTGACAGCTTTAGCGCCAATCGCCCCTTAGAACGTCACCTAATGATCTGGGAGTCAGGATTGTTCTTGTGTACGGAGAGGCTGCGGCAGAGGCGACAAAGAAGAAGAAATTGTAGTTGCAACTGGGGACTGCGTCCGACCTAGCCGCCCTCTGGAACTGGCTAGCCAGTCGTTCACTAGCTAAGAATACGAATACGACTATAGTCAGCTGGGTAGCTCGTTCAATCGTGCGCTGTTTTAACTGTCGTTGTTGTGGTAGCGGCACAAGTCGATAATGGTATAGAGTCGTGTGAAGAGACGCATTCAAACGACCGGGCGAATGCGCAAACAAGGCAGAGTTAACGCCGTGTCTCATTGACAAATAACGTTACAGCAACATAGCAATACTTTATACAGAATACATTGGCACTATTGGCAGACCCTCCCCCATTGAACCGGCAGCGTTTCGGTTCACTCCAGAACGAATTTTAGTATATATATATATATATTTGGTGCAACTGATATGCTAGTTTATTATAGTGAATGCCAGTAATAGGTGAAAAGTAGAAGGCGCTAAGAGTGGCTGTTGTATAATTTTGTTTTTGTCTGATCCCGCTATTGCTTCTGGCGCGGAAAACTGGGCCATCATTATATTAATCTTTTTCCGTTGTTGTGTTGATGTGTTGAGCCTGATTTCGAACGATGATGCGATGCGAAATGCTTCATAGTTTGGAGGATTTTGCCCCTCTACTTATTTTTCTTAATTATATGTTGTTGTATATCACACTAAATTCATTTTTACAGTGATACAATCATATTAAAACAACTAGCCAGTGGAACCTTTCTATACTCCAATTTTGTATATGCTTTTTGAGATGATACTCGGCCTTGGATGCTTCACAACCTTCGGTCCTAAAGTCTTTCTGGACACTATTGACAAAAACTGAGATGCGCACGCTTGGTATCATAGCTATTCAACTTTCATACTCGAATTACGCTAGTTTTATTACAACTGACATTTTCAACACTTCGTTGCATTTACACTTATTGGCAAGTGAATTAATTTATAAGCCATCGTAGGTTTTCGAGAATTGCAAAATGTTCCTTTCTAGCACAATGCGATAATTAGAAAGAATACTTTCTTTTACTCAAGATTTATTATTTCCTCTCTATTGGCTTTCTTCGATTAGCAACTAAACCGAAAGTAAAAAAATTAACAGCAAACTGTAGTAAAAAATGGTATACAATATAGTTACGAGCTTTCAATTTTCGGCCTTAGCGGATCATGTTTAGAAGCATTAATGCAGATATTTGTGTGTGCAAGATTTGACAACTTTTTTGCGCTGGGCAGTTATCTTCTAATTCCATGTTTTAAAACATGGAATTAGAATGTTGCACGACCTAACATATATTACTGACAGACTACCACGAATCAGTTCAACATAATTGTCAAAGTAATCGTCGTAGTAATAATGATCGTATACGAAAAGTTCGCTTATTTTGTCCTTAAACGAAGCGTGTAGTGGGAGGTGATTTGGGCAACTCGCCAAAGCGCCATAGTCATCATCGGCAGCAGCAGCAGCAGCAGCATTCGATCGATACTTTGCTATCCCAAAGGATTGAGTATCTGGACGGATTAGGACTGTCACAATACAAACCATACACACTGTCGCATCTCAGAGTAACGATCAGCAGACCGTCGTCATTATAGCGGATCAACGTAAACCCGCTTTCACTCAAGATATACTATAATTCGGTTTTGCTGAACGATAGAGGACTCAAGTTTCGATGATATCGAATGAATGGGACATGTGCAGGCTTCTTCGAAGATTGCACATTTAAAGAAGCTGTAGCAATGTTTGATGCTGCCTGCCACTAATGAAATATGAAATATATTTCAAAATCAATATAATGTTTTTACTTGATTAGTAGGGAGCAATAGATCATAAACACACAGTTTGTAGCACTTATACGAAAAGTAGAGATAGATGTGTTTCTGGAAGGTAAGTAGTCTTAAGAGACTGAATAATATTTAATAATTAGAATCTGTTGATCTACAATGTACAACTACAACGACAAATTGCTTTGATATTCAACCAAGGTACCGTAAGACAGAATTATAATGATTTTCTAGAAAACGCAGTTCGCCTCAAAGCTGTCTGTTAATATCATGATAACAAAAATATTCGAAGGTCAGTTATGGCAATCACTTAACAGAGATTGCAGTACTAAAATAGTTGGCAATTTCATACGTTTCTTCTTTATCTCTGTTGCCAGATTTAGATAATCTCCAACGTAGAAATCTATGCAGAACAACTACTTTGAATCTAGTTGTAGTCATTCAAAAGTAATCGATGATACGGCAGGTGGAGCCAACCGATAGAAACAAGTCAATAGATACGCATTAGAATAAAAAACACGAATACTCATGGAGTCTGGGATTGCGTATGGTTGAACGATAAATTTTCAGGAGACACGAATGACTTCGACATCGATCTCATGAAGTGTCAGTTTCATTTTCCTTAATTATATACTAATTTGATAATAAATAGAAACATTATTTTACTTTTAAGCAATTTGACGGTATAATCAATATATGCTTGCCAATATATAGGCACATACTCACTGTTTACTTAGAGAATATACACTAATGGGTTTTTTTTCAATTGAAAGTTAGATATTTAAGAAGTAGACAATCGCCATACTACAGTCTTTGTTTACAAAAATTATCTAGCTTTTGCATGTTGTTCGCCGGTCGTGACAACTGTCGCGGCAAAGTGCCTTTGTATTTCGCGTCTCTATGGTCCCGAAAAGCCAACGCGTGCGATAACTTTGTCATAAGAAAGTCATAAAAAACATTTGAAAACTTTTGCGTTGCACAAATCATGATGGTGCCGAAGGTCATGTTGGCTTTGCAATCCAGAATTGCAATATATGATTATTTTTGACCGTTTAAAAGTCATAAGTTTTATTTATGGCTCTCAAAGGCTTTCTCAGGGTTTTCGGCTACGTCAAGATTCTTAGTAATGTCTCGTTTTCAGACTCCTGACTCATTTTAGCGTGCTCGGCTAATTCGAGCTACATATATTCAACCGAAATGATTTAGTTTTCAACAACATGCAAACAGATGAACTACTGTAACCGCGCAAAGCTGATAAAAATAACAGAGATGATGACAATAGTGTATCAGAATATGCAGTAATTCTCAAACGCCGGTCGTTTTCAGTAGCTGTATTCAAACCGTTAAGTCTCGCCTCACGGTTATCTAAGCAGTAAACAGCTATCATATAACTATGTGGTATATATAATATATATTATGAGACATTAAACCACAGCTAATGATAGGTAAGCATACTGTTGGTTTTAATCAATCTAAATATATATATCAGTTAACATTTTACAAAATAACAACCGTTCCGGTTAAAACGTATGCTTTGTAACGGCTCCCAATTAAAATAAATATTCATATTATATTAGACTTTAATCAACGTCAATAGTGATAGATCATGCTTACCAGTGCGAGTGCCTATTCGTCTTCGATGTGCAGGTTTGGCCTTGGACATAGATGGCCTGGCGTTCTGAAGCAAAGATGCATGCTTTCAACCAACGCAAAGGATCGTCTGTCATACATAACTTAATAAGTTACGAAGTTAACAACAACCACTTTGTACAACAGGTAGCTTAATTACTTTGAAAGTGATATATAATAATAATGATGATAAAAAGGTCAGCGTTTACGTTGGTTTCGTTTGAAAAATAATACACTACAGTGAGCTGATTTTGGTGACTGTATATTCACTACAACTGGTGGTATCTGTCTGTTCTTTAAAGTCGTTTTCGGCTTGCGCATATTGTGTCTACCGTAAGCCGGATTCAACTCGAACCAGAAGAAAAAAGAAAAACTAACTTTAAAAATAGTGATAGCACTTACATGTAGCACGTAAAAAGCAATTGGAATTAGATTTAGATTGCAAGCCCATATATAATTGTTTTTTCGCCTTCTGGTAAATTCGTCTCGAGAACATCCACTGATAATCATAGCAACAAATGGTAAACTTCTGTTGCTAAAGTTTGAGCGTAAAGTTGGACCGAGATAGCCTTAAATGTATCGTGTGGTTCAACTTCATGATAACCCACATTGTGATAAATAGGTAATAAGCTTTTCTTCACTCTGATTCGTTTCGATTTACAAATGCCGAAAAGGTTTTAGAAGTATGGAACTATGCATTGTTGATTAAAAATGGAGTTTCATTAAAATGCCCACGGTTTAACGATTGTCAAGTTGATCATGCAGGTGCGCATGGATATTACGAAACATTTCCTTACTCTGCAAAATGACTTTCCAGTAATGTCCAACATTCTTCTGTTTCAAGCTATTGCTATGTTGTTCATAAGCGCACGGGATGCACTGTGTACAATCAGATTCTTCAACCCCGTGGCTAATTGAACAACTAAACTGCTAAAAACCAATAAAGTTAACGTTGAAAATTACAATAACTATGGAAAACAGTCTGCTTCAATCATCCAACTTCTTCCAGCTCAGAGATGCCCTTTTTTCTTATTGAGGGTAAGCGATGTCTATTCTACGAGCAATAAGGATGATATTTGGATTTATGTTTGAACTGTGTCCGTTTACTAGTTAAGGACAAGGTAGCCGTCACTACAAGAAATCTGCGACAACCTTAGACATTTACTTTACTGCGATAACAAATATTATATAACCGAAACTATTTGAGATAAACAAAAGTATATTTATCAAAAGTATTCTGCTTTGCAGAAACGAATCGCTTCAAAGCTACATTGATAATTTTCATCGTTGTTTTAATTATTATTATTGATTTAACAATACTGATTTCTTTCTAAAGGTTGATTCTATTATGTATAGTACATACTGGTAGGCTGCTCAGGATGTGGTTACACTAGTAAGTACTATGTACCCTAAAAGAGCAAAGTTATTTTTTAGTAGTGATACGTTTGGTTTTCTGACCTGCACCCAAGATGGCCTAGTTAATGAATATTTTTCAAAACAGCGAATCGGTGGAGCGAAATCTGGTTGAAAGCATTCACAGTGCCGTCTGTTCTTGTGATCAATTCCTTCGGAATTGTTGAAAAACATTATGCAGAAAACTGATTGGAAACACGTTGCGTTTATTAAATTAGAGATTAGATTGTGCTGCATTTAATGGATTGTGTTATTCAAGTTAAGTGTATCATCAAAATATATTTACACCATAAGAATATATAGCTGCAACATATGTGGACATCCCGTTCGCCTCAAAATATTTCTTTAGTTTGCCGTCCAGAAATATGGTAATAATCGGAATGATAACTCAATTTAAAATTATTTACATATCGATACACTCATAATCTCTTTCAGCATTTCCTTTTTAGGCAAACAGTGCGTTGTTCTGATATATGACCTAATTAAATTATGGTCTTTTCTCTTTCTTTTTTACAATAGGAAAAAATCAACGGAACGTCTGTTATTTATTGCTAATTTTACTGTCGACCTGATGCCGCTGAGACACAACCAAGAAACCGCCAAGAAAATCGTAGTTGCTTTCGAACTGTTTCGTAACTGAAAATAAAAATTACTTTCTTCATTTTACTTTTGTTTACATCAGTAGCTGGATATCCGCGCCCGTGTTAATGAAATTACATAATAAAGGCGTGTTTCAGGGCCATTTCAGTAAGAAAGGCTGATCAGCATATGGTATTTACTGAAAGCTTCTCAACGAAGTCCCTCTCATTGTAGCAAGAGGTATTTCACAGGTGGTGAGCTAACATTTATAATTAATACTTTTGCGATTGGCAATAATAAAAAGGTTTTGTAGCCTCTATATACAATTTACTCATGTGCTGATTCGCTTTCATTATCCTGACATTGATTTGAGTCAAACGTATTAAACTTCTTCCTCGTCGTCTCCAAAGGACAAAAGCCGATTGTCTTTTACAGCTTTGACATCCTTCTTTCGTGAACAGTCTTCCTGGAGCTTTTTTTTCTTTGATGAAAGCTCCATTTGTTTTAAAGTTTCTTTAACGTCCTTCGTTCGCTTACTCGAACTGCTAAAAACCACTCTTCTGTTGGATTGTGCAGTGTCTTCAGCTACCGCAACCTATTCGATAAAATGGTAAGACATGGAAAGACTTAAGTTATGTATGTTACAAATAATCGCCAACTCGAGTTGGAACTAACCGCTAGCTTTAGAAAATGACAGGTCTAGATTCTACCATAAAAGTTCCTTCAGTACTCGTATATTACGCTGGATATCTTTGAAAAGAAAATAATACTACCTTTCACATTATTCTTTCAGAAAACTGCGTCGTAACACTGCGTAGGAAAACATGCAAAATATGAATTAAAAATACCATGAAAAATGAATGCATCGCATGGCTTCCTGTGGTGCAGCTTTGGAAATAAAGACGATTTCATGGGTACTAAAATCTGCATAATATTGTAAATATTATCGTTGCATACAATAACATTGGTACTGAAAAAACCTCCACGCTCAATTGTCGTTCTATCTAAATCCGAAAATAGGCAGTAGATTTTTATAACATATACTGGATCCTTAATCTCATAAGCTTCAGTGATTTCTGTTCTCCAAAGGTTCTGAAGAAGCTATAAGTGGGCAGTGTTTCGCGATCTAATACTAAGTTTTATAGAACTCTATAACTTAGCTGCAACGTTTCTTATGAGTCGTTTCGTCAAATTTAGCAAGATACTTGCGAGTGTATACTACTTTTTCCGATGACTGCGTTCGGTTCAGATCGGATGAAGTCGTTTCCCTCTGGCATTCATGTTATTTACATTAAATGTACATTTAGTCGGTTTCGGTCGCATTTCTTTACGGACACGCCCACTTAACGCAAATTTCTTCATGCAGTTTGTAAGTAAAGTTCAAAATCCACCTTTCAGCTTACACACAGACTTTGTTCTCTAACACTAATTGCTCTGTTCATCTTGATATCATAATCTGTCATATTGTCCCTATAGAATACTAACCATTTTCGTATCAGACCTTTTGGATTCATCCTTTGTTTTATTAAGTAGCTTAGATGCCTCCTCTTGAGACAAGTCACCGTCCCGTAGAACCACAACCTAGAACAAAATACAAACAGAGTTGCATATTTCGCTTTAAATAAAATCCCTTAAGATAGAACAGTATACTTATAGTATTGCAGGTCCATCACTTTTATTTTTAACTAATTACTGACGAAGTGTTTATTGATATCTTACTAACCTGAGGTCTTTCGTCGCCCTTTTCCTCCTCGTCGGAGTCGCTAAAATCTTGTCTTTGCACAGGCCTCTGTTTTTAAACGAATTAGATTTTTTAGACCAAACGCTAATACACTCCTTTAGGCTTGCATTATTATATATCACAGTAGTACAGAACGCACAAAAATTACACCATCTACTGGAATCTACTTTACGTTCCATCGATTCAATATATACGGAGATGGAAGTATATGGGGTCTGTAGGTTATCGAAGTGATCATGTATACCTTTGTATTGACGTTGGGTCCTTCCTTGTATCCGCATCGCTCTTTTATTGCGCGCAAAAATGGCGGATCGCCGGGTTTCACACAATGAACATTGTGTTTTCGGCCATTTTTGTTGTAAAGTCGCCTTGACATTCTGTGGCCCTTTTTGTTTTATTGTCAAGTCATTCCTAAAACAGTAAACAATCAGTACATACGTTCATGCTTTTCAATCAGCTAATCAAACAACAGCAGTCAAATAGTGTTCGACTGTACATCACACTGAGACATACTGAAAGAACTCATGTTTTAAAAAAAATAAGCAATAAGTAATTTAATATAATTATACATAATTAAATAAATAGCCTTTGGGACTGGGAACTTGTGAGCCGGCTGACGACGGCAGAGGTAGAAAAAAATCAATTATAGCTGTTAGCACCAAAAAATAAAACAAAGCAATAAATACTACCAAAGAAATTCTGCAGTCTTCAAAAAGGTTTCACTTGAAATGTAAATCAGATCAGAAGAAGCAGTATATGATATTAGACTACAGAGAACGATATCATGAAATGTTGGAATCCGTGTCGGTCAATAATGAACTAAATATCAATAGAAAAAATTATCGCATGGCCTTTATTTAGCTTATTAAATATTAAACATATTAAACGATGTCTGCTTCGGGCATACCTTTTGAGCTTCGTTAAGTTTATCACAAGTAAGTAGACTCGTAACAAATTTCCCAATTCGAAATAACTGTAAAGCTCCACTATCGCAAAAAGATTTTTGAAGGGTTACTCATACTAATAGAACGGCTTCTAATCGGACGGTGAATCCAAAGTGTCTGATGTCCTCTCCTTATGCTTCATTTGTTCGGTGAAAATAAGCATTACATATAGGTGTCCAGAAATTCTAAAAATAAGACGGCCGAGCTCTGAAATGTAGACAAGTATGCCTGTGCTCAACGTTCTAAGCCGATGTATTTTGCATACAAAACGTAAGGCTCATGCGACTAGATCTTCGCTTTCGTCAAGGTGGACTGTTCACATTTCGCTGGTGTTCGAGTTGATCAAGCGAACAAAGAACGCATCAATGGGAGAGGGTCATGCTGATGTAAACATTCGAACTGAATTAGCCGATTAGGTCGGTTCTGTGTGCTGGCGTGTGTGGTAATACTGTAGCAAACAATTTCGAAAAAAAACAGATTTATGATGTAGTGCAATGCATTTATATTTAGTTAAGTGCTCTGAGAAATAGTTGTTGGCCGTGTACTTATTCGTAACAAGGGTTGTGTAGAGAAAAGAGGCTATTTTCATCAGCCAAATGGAACTGTTTGATTCTACAAATAGATATTTGTGAAACTGTGTTTAGGCTTTACTAGGGTGCTTCAGTTCATTACACAATTACCGTAATAATGACAGTGATGGGCAGAGTGCAGTAAAATTATATTATAGTCATTATTGCTAATTAGTTACTTAAAAGAATCTCCTTAGGAACGGACGTTTCCTTCATATATTCCATAGTTCCTTTCTGTTAGTAATATTTGCAGTGAGTGTGGAATTCGTCCAGAACTTACCTAGAGCAGCTACAACTGGTATAATTCATTGTTCCAATACTGAAAGGAGAAAGCAAGCTTTGCTAAAAATAAAAATCTTTCATTTAAGTGCAGTTCTATTAAAATACATTTTTTATGTAGTTCTTAATATGTAACATAATTTAATCTACAATAGAATAAATAAGTTGTCACCGTCTGCTCACTCGTATCGATTTACACTATTTGTGTGGGTCCACTAAAGATGGGTGTTCCAATATAGTTGTCATTATAGAAAAATATTAACATCTAAACGATAGGAAGGGCTTATGAGATCGTACTTATGTTATGTAACGAATAACCGACTGTCTTAAGCGAACGTTTTTTCGGGTTTTTTTTTTTAAACAGGATGTTTACTAATTTGAGAGATGCCGCTCCCAGCAGCTTTACTTGCGCGTCTCGCCCAGCGCGGATTGGTGAAAAGTGCAGTTGATCGTGACAGGGACGAACATCGAGGAGTACGGGAAGTGCCGGATATCGCGATTCCAGTCCATAGAAGTGTCAACATCCACAATGATCCACCTGAGGAAGAAGAAGAAGAGGTTGCTAATTGTGATAATAACAAAGCGTACATACTATATGAGAAACACGGATTTGACATTCCGGGCAGTGTATTTGTTCTGTAGTATGTATTCGTTTTGGCAAAGATGCCCTGCAGCCTAATAATATGCTACCTTGCTTTTTTCTTATCAAAGGGAGATCCTATTATCAAGATCTCATCAAAAATCTCCTAAAATATCGGTCTTGTTCTTGCGTGTAATAAGCGTTTTCAACTAGTTAGCTGGCTGGTTAAAGCTGTCTGTCATAAGTATAGTACTATCCAGTTTTAAAGGCACCTGTTGTTGCATTTATTACTACCAATAGCTGCACTTGTCCCAATATGTGGTTTTGCATACTATTATTTGCAGACTTGACAACTAACAGGATTTTAGATTTCAATGGTTTTACGAACCCTTACAATGTTTTCTAAGGTCTGAAACAATACTTGTTCTTAAACGTGTCCTCCTTTGCTAATAATAGTGTTAGGGGATATCCAAAGTACTTGCTCATGCACAAAATGCATTCAGTTTACGGTCATATTTTTTATATTTTAAAACTAGGCTATCATCGAAATTCGTCGTGAGGATATTTTTCTTTTAATCATGTTTTTTTCCTTAAGATTAAGTATAGTTCTTGTCCTCAATGGATTGCAGGTATTTGCAGAAGATTATGACACAGCCAGCGGGGCCGTCGAGATCGGACCTCGACTGCCACGAGCACTCGAGCAAGCCAGACGACCACCTCATGAGCCGTTAGGAGCCCCTGCAGCAGGGTGTCCCAATAAATGGAATGCCCATCATCGATGCCTTGTCTGGTGTGCAAAACGATGGGGAAATGGTGTGTAATATTTTTGAGAATAAACGATTGAGTTCACGGTGAACATCGTTTTTCTCTATGTCATGACATTAATAGTTAATGACAATTACTCATGAAAATAGTGACTTCCAATATTATCTCAAGCGTACCTAATTACTAACTTATTATTCGGTCCAAGAAAGATGGACTGATTTATAGCTTACAAGTGTTGGTAAACCTATCCTATTCAAAGTTATTAATTATAGGACAAATAAGATGATGATGATGATATATACATATATATGCACGCGATAAGTTATATTACATTTCGCGAATGTTATAGTTATTTTTATTAATTAGTTTTCCACCAAAACCAAACGCGTTCTACAAGTCTTTTGGTCTAGGTATAAATGTACATAGCATACCTGAATTAGTGCTTGCCGGTAGCTCATGTAACAGATGTCAACTTGTTTTGTGTGGTCATTAGGTGTGCCTGAAGAAAGTCCGGCTATGGCACGAAAACGTCTTAGAATGCTGCGTAAATACCCACTGCCGCCAAAATGGTCCGAAGAATATGACCCTGGGACTGGGCGTTACTACTACTGGCATAGAGATGGCAAGCAGGTTGGCTGGTAGAGTTTCATAAATAGTCAGGGATTGGTCGATATAAGTTGCCACTTGTATATCTAACATATCAATCATAGCTCACATCAGGGATCGAGCTAATGGGATGGCGTAGTCGGTAACGCGCTATGTACGCCGTGTTAGCTTAGCACTTGCGTGGCTTCAATTCGCATAGAGGCCCGAACGGCAAGAACCGAATTTTTCGTATAAAAATTTCTTTGCCTTCTTATTCCTCTTGGTACGATAATGACCGCCGATGGAACCGTGGCGGGTGCTCTCACGCATAACTCTTGGATGGTAGTATGGCTGGTATAATGGTTCCGTAACCATTGTAACAAACAACACATTTTGCGTGTCTCTTCGTCTATAAGGGACACTGACATTGTGGGTCCGTATTCCATAGATGCGACAGCTAATAAGCGATAAAAAGCAGTATGGTATATAGAATTTCACATCGGGGCTGACAGTCCACAATGTGAGCGTGCTCTTCGCAGGTTTCGGCGGGGGTACCAGTTATACCATGGGACCCTTCCTGGATGTCCCAGCAGTAATACCTCATGGCTCAGATCTGGGGTAATTTGATATATAGCGACCAAGAATTAGAAGTAGGTTGAGAAAAATAAGAACTGAATTAATCTATTTGCTATAGTATACGTTCTGTAAAACATACCGTTTATGCTTTTTTTTCTAAGGCCTCAATTAATTCTTTGTGAAATATTGCCTCACAATTGTTTCACATACCAAAGCATTTTCATCTCATTCATCAGTTCTACGTTCGGCTTTGCAATAGGTTTCTTGGTTGAGCCCCGGTCATCCTCGTGCCCAAATTACGATACCAGCACAAAAGTTCCGAGAAGTCTTAAGTGCCGGAGGTAAGCACTTTAAATACTGCCATTTTAAGAATTTTTGATGTTAGCACTTGTCTTAATTAAAGATTAGCATAAGTGCCGTATACTTTGGAAATAATTTCGCGTTATACCGACATTATGTTTTTTCCTGTAGATGATGACGAAGAATCAGCTGATTCAGGATCAGAAGTTGAGGAAGACGACGAAGCGGAGGCCGATGATGATGTCCCGGTATTTCGAAAACAGAAAACTTCAGTTGGAGGATCAGTACGAAGGTAAGTGCTTTCAGCGTGGTCGATAGATGCTTCCAATTCGCAAAGAATAGATTTGCTTATTCGTGGTAAATTGTTTTATATTTTCAGTGAGCGTAATCGTGGCTGAACATCGACTTTATTTAGGGGTATCTGTAGCAAAGTCTATCACTTGAGGTAACGGTTACGTAATAGCCTGTTGCTTGTATTTGCATAATTAAGGCTCAACACGCGTAGCTCACAAGAGCTACGCGTGTTTCTGGTCTATAAAAACCTTAGGTAAATGAATAATCTCGAACAACTTATTGCCGTTTCACAAGCTATCATGGCTATTAAATGTTCATAATCCATTTGAGACTTGCGTGTTTATAGATAACAGACAATCATTGGTTGACCACGTTGTGCCTAGTTCATACGAATAAACACAATATAAAAGTTATACGGATGGCATTCGCTTTGTTCGTTTGTCATTAGGGGCAACGGTCCACCAATTGGCGTTGGCGGTGACCGTAAACGAAAACGCGGTGGCGGAGGCGACTCCGGAGCCCTGGATCCAATGGATCCTTCGTCATATTCGGATGCTTGTCCTAGGGGAGGATGGTCAGCTGGGTTGGAAAGGGAAAGCGGAGGCGATAGAGCAGCTGATCATACTGCATCAGGACCTCTGTTTCAACAACGGCCGTACCCATCTCCAGGAGATGTGCTCCGAATGAACAAAACCAAGGACTGATTTTACGAAAAACCCGAAAGCTGCGCATGAACTTGTATTAGGAAGATTAGTATACTGTACGAACATTTTTGAGCTCATGCCTGAAGTAAATAGCAAAATGAACAGAGCTGATATGTTTGCGATGATGATAACGATGTGAAATCACATTTTTGAAACAAGTGTAGTACATGTGTCGATGGATATATTTCGTAATGTGTCAAAAAGACAGCGATTTTGCCTGTTTATGTTTGTGTAACCAGTGTAATCTAGATGAAAAGCATTGCCATTTCTATAGTTGATGGAAATAGATCACGTTTCAGTAGTATGGATATGTAGTTTTGTTAATTAAGTGATCGACGTTGTTAGGAGAACATGTAGATTTTTCTAGCTCATTTCGGTGGCAAATTTGGGTGGGATATGGTTAGACTACCACAACGATCCTTACAGCTATGTGTATACCTTGATCAAAAGGAACAAACATAACAAGCAGTAAAACGCAATTCTAAATTGCTGGAACTGAATAAATTGTGCAGTGATAATGATGCTGTATTTTAGCATCAGTAAATAAACAGAAATGGTACGCAATGAATTCCTTATTGTTTGTGTTCCCAGCTTTTGTGATAAACCTGGAAACCATTATGAGAGAAGCCAACCTGCAACATCGCCTTGTTAATGCAAATTACATATCGATAGTTCGGGAAGCGCAAAGATGCGTGCTTTCGGTTTCTGTCGCAGGCATTCTACAGGCATAATTCAATTAATAGCTTTCCGCATATGTCTCTGTAACTATGTCTACTGATATGCTAAAACTACCATATTAAATAAGGGGAGCAAGTATATTTCTATTAGAGGGTTGAACTCAAGCGGAGCTATCACATGTCTCACGAATTGGTGGCTACCCTTTAGAGAGAACGCAAAAAATAAGTTAAAAGCCTAACTTTTTTCTGACTGCAAACTTGCTTCGGCTTTATCCATAGCACTAGATACCCGTGAAATACTGTTTTCACTGGCACTTCTAATATGCAACTTTCATTGTGGATTTCTAGTAAGTAGCAATAAACCGGCAGGTCTAGCTACCATAAGGTCTCGGGTTCGATCCTCAGCAAAGACAGCCGTATTTTTTCAAGTTACGTTTGTTCCTGATATAAAAATATCACAAAGTGATGTTTGACATGCGTAAGTATTACTACGTTCTTTATTCGTGATATATTCGAAATTATAAAGATCGCTTCATGAACATTAGGCCTTCACATGGGTAGAACTAGTGCTGAAAGCTTTTAGTGAAAGTATTTCTGATTGATTTCTGTGTCTATAAACGCGAAACAAGTACTCGACGAGGAACTATTTGACAAATCTATATATATATATATATATATATATATATATGAAAAAAATAATAGAATAAAATCAATATACTATTGAGAGATCACCTATTGGAGGTCCCAGCTACTAGGGTTAGTTACATTTCCATATTTTAATAGCAAGCAAAAAAAGGTACGTTTAAAATAACAACTCTGGAAAAACAAATATAATTATTATATATGGTCTCGTATGCATTTCCAAAAAAAAACAGTATTTTAACACACTAATTGTTTTCGAGTTTTTTTTACTATAATTTATTACTCTCTTCAGCTGATTGTCAGAGCTATAACTCTACAGATATGAATAGATACAAAACAGATATTTAAGCATAGTGATGCGTGTATGAAACTTAGATCAACGCAAGCCCCATCCAACACCCAACATATGTCTACGTATCTCTATTATTTGAAGCACTTTCTATTATTCTTCATTTTCAGTTAAAAGCATTAACTGGTTTACGGCGCAGGTGAGAGAACAAATGTTGGACACCGTACAATAAAACGTTTCCATACATGTGTGTGTGTTTGTCACGCAGAGCCCCAAGCGAATTTTAATTTAGCTGACGGTGCGAAGCAACATCTATTAAGAACCATTCGTATATTTTTTTTTGATAGGTGAAAAAAGAACGTCGCTATTTGCTATCAGCCGTAGCCAAAATATATTGTAATCCTCACAAAAGCCTTGCACCCGATAAACGACTATACGATGTCGGTTTGCCGGCTACTATGAGCGTCGGTACGACGATGGTCGGGTCAAGGCTAATAACGGCTACTGGTCCGTACCTAAAAATTAAATCTGAAGGTTCCCTGATATTATTATACCGTCAGCTGTTAAAAGGCATATAAGCACGCTATTTGCAGTTTGTGCGTCCTTATGTTTTAGAGTCGAACCTGATGCCAAGTATCCCGTTGGAAAAATTTGAATGTCAAATTACAACGTAGAATTATAGCGACGCCGACGTTTAACAGCTTTACATATTAGCTGCATATTTATATGCATTGTGGATTTATTGGTAGAAATACTGACAAGTATCTATTATCATCTACTAAAATCGCAAACTTGAGAAGTATGAGAAAGCAAATGTTAGTGATAAGAATACTTTTGAATAAAGCCAATAGCGTAAACTGGAAGAAGCTTTAAACTAATTAAAAAGCTGAATTATGTGGAAACCGATGCATCAGGTGGGCCAACTCAGCCGAGAAGTAAATTTCCTAAAAGCTGAAATATCGTTATGCGTATTGTTTTTCTCACTGATTGCGTTAGTGAGAGGTGTACATTATCTTTGTTGCACTTTTTTAATTTTATTTGATGGTGATATTTATAAATGAGTTGATGTGAATCTGAAAAGCGCCTAATCTACTCGTATCCAATTGTGGTTAGTGGAGATGTTGCTGGTACTGCGTTGTACATAAGCTTGACCTTAGCTATAGCTTCGACTGTACATAACAGAGCATCCAACGAACATTGAGATGAACGTAGGCAAATGCTTAAGCGAATGCAAATAAGAAGGCAAACCTCACTAAAGACTATAAACTAAAGCCTATAATGACTCATTGCTAAGATCACGTCAGGCGATGACTGACTACATCGAACAACTGACAATTGTCTTAAGTATGACACAGACGATCTACTTTTTTTTCAAAATATTAGATCAACGCTTCAAAAAGGAGATAGTGTTTTCCTCCTGATTTAGCTGACGAGCATGCTTTTTTTTTTTTAATTTAATTACCGCGGTGTAGGCAGTCTAAATCATTGATACTATATGATGAAAAGGCATAACGCTGAAACAAAGAATGTTTCCTCATGTAGAAAGGCATTTCGCAGGCGGAGTTCTAATTATAACCATCCCACTATATGACAGGTAGAGGAAGTTGGGCAGAAGAATATAGGGAACTCTACTTGATTTTCTTTCAAAAATTAATTTTTTCAAATCAGGCCAATATAGCACTAGTATCGTCGCAAAAATATAGTTTGCATAAGCATTGTTTTTTTTCTATAGCAGTTCTCAGAAGATCTCTAAGACAGAACATGGAACATTACTGATATACATTTATAGTGCGATAGGATGCCATCATATTCCTTAAACTAAGTTATCGAAAGATTATTAATCGTTTTTAAGTCAAAATTGAGAATTTTTTTAATATAAAGAAAATAATGTTGAACTTTATATGTGCACCTTTGATGGATGATAATCTGCCTTTTTTCTGGAAGCACTATAATCCCACTACCGTAGAACTTCTGTGGTTTCTAAGTAATAAATGACCAGCGATTTTTACATCTCTCCATTGAAACTGGATTAACACAATGAAAAGAGTTCTGCAAAGACTGAAACAGATGATAGTCTGATGGTGGAAGATCCGAGCTAAGCGGCGGTTGCATTAAAATAAATTAAAAAAAAAAATATGAGAACTTTGATAATGTTCTCATAATGCGCGATTGTTTCCGATTGCCATCGGACACATAGAATCACCGTCTTTAGCGTCAGTACGGAGTTGGCGACGGATTGTGAGCACATCTTTTTTTTTTTTGGCACATTGTCGTATGTGATCCATCTTCTTCTCATCAGTAATCAACTGTCGTAGAATTGGCTTGGCAGATGGAAATACGATCGAATAAGTTATTTTGCGTCAATTTGTATGGCATTTCAGTATCAACCTTTTTTTAGAAATCAACTTTCTTGAACTAATTTCAAACTACCTAGTGGTGAATCTTTAGTTCCTTGGCTCCTCACTTATTTATATTGCTTAACTTTCTCAATTACTTCACCGGCATAATTTCACATAATTGGTAAACCATTACAAGAAGAATGTTTCATTCTAAAATTTCCAAAACGAAAGCGACAAGGTTATTTTTAGGTTGTTTTTTTTCCAATAATGCATCTTGATTATAAGTGGCATAATTTTTTTTATCTGTTTGGGCAGCATTTGCGTTTTTAGCATAAACAATATAGCGATTTTTGCAGAAACTTCATTTTTAAGGTGCCCTGTCTTGAGCCTGAATAGAAACATTTCATATTTACTCTGTCAAATCTCAGCTTTCGAATACCACTAACCGCGACCGCATTCGACTCACATTACTTAAGAAAAACGTATAATTCCTTTTTGAAAATCCAGTATGTTGCCATTCACTACTAAACTAACTTAAGTTCTATTAAAATAATCATTTGGTTTTCAGGTTATTATTTCTTTATTGACATCGGGTGTACTATATATATATATATATATATATACATACACATTTTTTTTTCCTTTTTTTCTCTAAAGGTTAATCGTATAGTGTAGAGGTTGCTTGTTCCGATGCTAGCTATACAACCTAAGTATCAGCATCAGTGTTAGATATTTATAGTTGAGGCAAATAAAACAGAAGAATCGATCTTGGTGATTCTCCAAATTGGCCCTAAGTATTTAGTAATAATTGCATGTATATCGGTTATCTTTAGCCGAAAAAAGACTCCTCTTTAGCATGTATGACAATGGATCGCTGTAGTATATAGCAGGGAGAGCTTTTGGCATTGTCTGCATTTCTGTTATTCAAAAGTTTAACGGCTTATAAAGATAAAATGCACTCATCCAATTAATTCATTAAACATTCGTTGGTTTTCATTGATAACAGTTGTCGGACAGTTTTGCTTTAGTCGAAAACAGGCTTCGAAACGGTATGGCCAAGGGGTATTAGCAACGAAGACGTGCACTTGTCCATATTGCTAACAATAAATAGATGACGCATCTGTTTGCAATGGTATTTGCTCGCTAAGTACCACGACTGCCCCTGTAGCTACTGTGGTGAGGGTAGTTACCATCATGATATGCGCCTTGCTTTTAGAAGACTTAAGTTGCGATAGCTCTATCTTATGTTCCTATTTTTCATCTAATACTAGCCTTCTTTTGAGTTCGTATCGATGATCTTCTGACCTTCTTTTTTGTGCCTGCCAGGTTTTGCTAGATTTAACAGTTTAAATATTAGCCAAAGAATCACCTTTAGGGCGGTTTGAGTTAGCGAAATTTGCATTAGCGATAACCAGATTGATACAGCAACGAGTAGTAGCTTTGACGAAGTTATGCTATCATACTTGGTTGGTACTCGAGTGTCAACCAGTTAGCATGTCGCTGCTCTTTTTAATCAAAAACAAAAATAATTGCACTAATAGTTTATCTTTAGCAACGTCAACAACATTCGCTGGCATATAAGCCCGCAAAGGGATGACAGTTATTTGCATCCCAATAGTCAACAAACGTGCAAGTAATAATTAGACGATTTTGGAAAATCTGCGAACAGCTAGCCTATAACAATGATGGGTGATTTTGCTTCAGTGTCAAGAAATACCTAACTACCTAACAATCATACATGCGATAGAACCTACTGCATGTTTACGTTTGTAGATTTCTGCAACGGTAGCTGACATAACCCAGATAATGATTCGTGAGAAAAAAGAAAAACAGGGTAAATTGCTTGTGATATCGGATTATGGATTCCTTTAATATTCAATTCAGGAATCATTTTCACTTTCAACAAACAATTAAAATATATAATAAGATTAATATTAACTGCGATAGCCATAATCCAGCACGAAGTGTTGTAAGCCTCTTAAGCAAACGCTAACCAAATTGTTTTTTATCGAGCTGACGGTTAGCGCGGCCTTTCTTTTACGTAGCTTTTATGATGTACCTATAGTTTTGCTCTGAGGAAGCGGTCAATGGGAACTTCAGTGTTTAAACAAAGATATCTAAAGGAGACAAGGCTCTGACTGCAGACCCTTCTTGATGTGCAATAGTAATGTCGTGTACCACTTGTCCAACCGAGAGATCGCGTCGTACTCAGTGACTGCTGCCGTGAATGCTTCCACGTCCTCGTCCTCCACAGCCTTTATCAACGTCTGAGGATTTTACACGCCATTTACTGTGGTTAGTTCGTCTGTTATTATTGAATATAGTAATAACTACTTTATATGTGGACATCAAAGCTCCTTTGGAATAAAACGCGCACATCTAACTAATACATACTGGCGAAAAAGCGTACTTAGGACAGGTATCCGAATGCAGCATCATGCAGAAACAATGGCCCTCTTTCATCGAAAGCCACCACCTATATATTCTGAAACCAGCGCAACTATCGAGACATTGCAGGAGGTAGCATCACTGTTCTAAGGAAATCTCCACAAGGCCTTCCCTTTTCTAAAACTATCAGTGCTTAACAAATACTTTACCTTGGAAAATTTGTATTCACGTGAGTCTGCAAAGCTCGGATACATCTCGTCGTATTTATTAAGCGCGTGAGTTGCGTTCAATACATCAATGGCAAGATGACACAGTGTGGCACGGAAGAAATATTCTTTAGCCGAGTACTTCAGTAGCGATGAGTCGATACAGCTGGATGCGACCTGCTCGTAGATTTCAATAGCCCGTTCAAACTTCTCCAGCTGAGCTGCGTATTTAGCCACCTGTGTAACATCAAACGGCATAACAGAAATCATAAGCAAACATCATCAACATGAATGGCCACTAAGTGATCATCACCAATATCAGTGACAGGTTTCTTTATAACGACACTGCTTTCACGATTTATCATCGTAACTAGTTAGTAGTAGTAATATTATCCATTAATTAAACGAGATGGTTTAATTGAACATCGTAAATTTAGATACCTGTAGCAGGCATTTGTTTGCTGCCGAGTTGCTTTCCTCGCTTTTGTAGTAATCGGCAGCTGTCTCGTAATGTCCGATAGCCTTCTCGATATCGTTGAGCTCATTTTCGTATAGCTCGGCTATACTAATATGGTGTTTAGCTGCCATGCTAAAGCGCCCCATGTCGGTATAGATTTCAACGGCCTTTTTAAGACAGTCTATGGCCTGAGTCGGCTCACAGCTCTTGTAGCATTTCGATGCATCCACGAACGCTGAACCAGCCTCATGCCTATAACAAATCAGATACAGAAACGAATTAAGTTGCATCAACACGGAACTACCAATAATGAATCAAGGCAATATACTTTTGTATTAAGTGAAATTAGTGTAAGTTTTCATTATTTTTGTACCTCAATGTCTCACATTAATATAAAGCAAAGAAACTGCTATTGTTATAAATGCTCAAAAATCAATTTGGTAATTTTTGTTTCTTTTTTTATCTTTTAATGATTTAGTGTTTGTTTTCCTGAAAAGAGTTTGCTCTGTTGTCATCGTTTCGTTCGTGTACGGAAATTTTAACCTAAAATCAAATTTTAACATTGGGTATGGCTGGTCGTAAACAAGAGTCTTTTCGACACCTATTATTCGTCTTGAAGCGAAACCATAAAAAAAAACCCCATCGAACCAAGCTTGGACGGGTATGGCGTGGACAAAGAGGACCCTATAGCTGAGAGTACCACTCTGAGCGGCTTTCTACATACCAACGTAGCAAGACCGCATTTTATCGGGCCTTTCAAGTTCAATGAGGGTTGTTTTGGGCCGCTTTAGGAATAATAACAATAATCAGATGAGTCCATTCCTCTTAGCTGTGGTTTTCATTTTACGAGGAATAAAATATGCGGAGCATAGAAAACGTCGAAAGTAGGTTGTTTCTGTAGCGTTTTGATACCAGAAAAACGTCGATATTTTCTGATTTCTGAAAGATTACTCCGGAAAAATATTTCATGATCTGTATAAAACATTCTGAATTGTTTGTATGTATGAGAAAGAGCTTTTTCAGACTTGACTACATGGAAGCGAAAAATTACCAGAGCGAAGCAAAAAACAATCCTGGCACCAAATAAAACTTATGTCTTGGGCCTAGTGAAGAGCTTCAGTCGACAAAACGCATACCTGTTATTGTTCTTTCGATGAAGATTAGCAGCCTCACAAAACGCGTGTCCTGCCTGTGGCCAATTCTTGGCCATTTTGAAGGTATTACCTGCTCGGCAATACAATTCACATGCTTCCTCAACACGGGCCCCACCCCTAAAATTAGGCCATGCACAAATTAGAGATGATATTACTAGTCAGGTACGAAACTACATAACAGAGCATAAACACCGAATTCGTCCATAGTGAATTACAATTCTTTATTACGATAATTAGCATCTCTCTCAACAAGAATATTATGGAAGTTTTTATTGTGCATTTTCAGTAATTCAAGAATACAGTGCATATGCCTCTTAAGACTTAATAGATTCTGTTTCCTAAAATCAGTTTAAAGTTCACACATAAGAAGCTCACATCGCTTACCCAAACATTCCTGAGAGAAATCCTGCAGGTTTGAGTTTTTTCTCTGCTTCAGCTAATAGCTGTTTAGCCTTCTGTTCGTTGTCTGCCATTGTAGTTACTATTTGTTTTTATTTACCACAGTCGCAGCTAACTGCGCCCTTATTTTCGTCGCTTGACTTATTACTAAAATGTTACTCTGGAGCGCGTTTCGGTTTAACGCTTCTTCATAAAGTGCAGGCCTTGTATCGACCCTCTACTTGCGTTCTGAAACACAAAAAAAAACACAGAAACGTTACTTTTACTGTTTTAGCTGTCTGTAATATTTGATGTCCTAGAAAAAAATGAGGGAAAATAGAAACAGAAAAAGTTATGCACAAGTTACAACTCAAAAACCACAGTGTGATAAAAAAAATGTGTGGAAATAGCTGTGAGATCTCAGCCTCACCGAGTATTAGTTAGCCGTATACATCTGATGAGTTTTATGATCGGCTCGAACTGACTGTGCAACATCAAAGATTTGCCTACAACTAAGAAAGGTAGCTTGCTAAAGCTCACTTTTCCTAGTTTTATTTTTTACCTGCAAAGCCTTATTATAATAATATAATACAGTTATTATAATAACTGCCACTACTCTACCCGTAAGCTTAGGATTGTCTTCATTGTTCCATAATTATCTAAGCCGGGGGATTTTTGAGAAGGTGCCGTACGCTACGGCTATGAAAAACGTGCAGTCACAGCGTATTCCTAAGTCGAAAAATTTGCCGTTGTTGGCTAGGAAACTATAAATAACACCTCTATTCGTTACTTACTAATGGAAGTGAAAGGTTTTTTTACATTGAGCATTAAGGGTTTGAAGATACCGTGTTCAACTGCCCTAAACACCACTGAACATACTTAGGGTATTCACTAGTACATAATGAGACATTTTTCTTTAATAAATAAAAAATAGAGCCTTAGATTATCTAAGGCAGACCGATTCTTAACATTGTTGGGCTGTGACTATGTAACGCATGCCTAAGAGATTCATTTAAAGCTCGTAGCGTATAATATGCATTTCAAATAAGATTATATATCTTGACAAACTTATTGTCCTAGCTGACGGATCGAGTGGGGACGGATTATTCATAGCTCGACTTACATCACAATCGGACGTTACAGTACACAGTTTTTACCACGATATGCTTTTCAATCGATTTATTGCATTAATCGAAAAATTACAGAAGCTAAATATAGAAATACTATTATCTGTGACCTTTACAGATGAATAAATATACCAACCTTAAGCTATGATATCTAAGCTTCTTCTGTATGTCCTCTAACAACCAACACATTATTATTATGAACAATCAAGTCCGCCAACTTACTGTTCGTAGCGTGTGTGGTCACACCAGTGTGGCCCGCCCCCACAATATCCTGTTCAGCAGTAATTATTGCAAACTTTCTATGATGAAGATAATGTTATGTTTTACCAAATAAGATTTATTCAAGTTTACAGGTAACCTTTTATTTTTTTTATTTCAAATTTGAAATGCAAATGTGTTTTAAAAAATGAATAGCCAGTATATAAAAACAACAAACATTTTTTTAAACATACACTATGCCGACTAGCCTGTTGCCAAGTTTCTGTAATTTAAAGCTTTGCAAAACTCGTTAAGTACTTCAACAATATGTCGAAGAAATCCTTTTAGCGAACCAAGCGGCATGGTACAGTGCATTTGAAAACTTGAAACTTTACCTGTTTTCCCGCCTCTGATCTAGGATGACCCACATACAGCGCAATAATGTTATTTTTGATGAATCCTGCCGTATCTATAAAAGTAAGTACTACTGAAAAATAAACGATGGTACAATTTTGGGTGTATGAGTACTGGCATACTGAACCTGATATATCATTGTTAATCTCGATTAATATGGCAATAATCCAATATGAAAAATAGTTTGGCAATAACATCGTGAAATGCAGCGCACGTTGCGCGAAGCTAAAGCTATAGGAAATAAAGGCGGTGCGACAAATCGCAAACTAAATGACAACCTCCATGATTACTCTGTCCCTAACATTGAGTAACTGAGTAAAGGTAAAAAGGAAAAGCGAAGGTAAAAGGGTTTAAATAGGTTATAAGAAAGCGATAAATTCGATAATATAAGCGAGAAATCAGTCAATTAACAAAAAATACGTCCATTCAGTACCGAACCGGCAGAGCTTTTGTGCTGAGCAACACGACGATCTAAATTACTAGCTTCTTTTTCTTTTAAAATATCGTTACCAACTCCAGTGTTCGTTTGTCCACTTGTTCACCAAACGAGGAAAAATATGCTGTGTCATCACATAAATTAATTTCGTATTTATTTATAGTAACGTGATGGCACAGGAGTTTGATAGAACTAATGGGACCAAAGTAACCTTCGACTGGATCTCTCGTTTCAATGTTTTAGTTAGATATTACTCTATTATTGTTTTATTTGAGCGTCGAGGATTCAATAACAATGTGCTGTCCGGTGCATTTTATGCAGCAGTGTAAAGAAAGGTTCCTGCTCCAACTCAAAGCACAGCAATCGCGTTCAAAATGAAAACAGAGCATATTCAAATTCTTTTCTAGCTAACATAATCGCTATATAAGAACATCTGTTTAAATGTCAATTTATAATGAAACATTGCCATTAGGCTTTCCCTTTATGTGGCTAAGTCCATTATTCTGTAATATCACATAGTTTTTTCGTTCATTTTTTTGAAGCTATACATCCTGATATCTACAAATAAGCCTAGCAGTTCGATTATAGTAGTTGGATAGTAAACATATGCCACGTACCTTTTATGCGCACTTACGACATCTTTTTTCTCTAATTATGCATAAGGTAAATTTTGATTAACTAACGTACACCAATGTCTCAGCTATACTAGTGGTGAAGTTACTTAAAAAAAAATTAATTTATGTTACTTAAATGCTAATGGGCATGTCCCATATAAAAATATAAATGTTTAATTTATCTGTCTCATACAAAACATTACAGAGGTAACACACTAACATTTTTCCTAGGCATTTACTCGGCGTCGTATGACTTCTTAATGTTAGACAGCTGAATTTGATAACGATTAGGTTGTGACTTACCTTCAAACTGACGGTAGCGTTTGGATTTAATGATCGAACACCTAGGAACGGCGGAAACCACACATTGCCGACAACATGGGGTGGGCCAAGCACTGTCAACAACCCTCCGATGCACTTCACACGGAAATACCTTTAATTGGGTTATTCTATTTGACAAATTAGTGCCTCTTAATTCAACGAGGAGTTTTTCAACGCTCAACTAATGTTCGTGATTCCTAGAACATGCATTGAAGCGCTGTAGACTCGAATCACAATCTTGTTTGCTCTGATAGATAAATCGTAATAGACTAAGCTGCCCTTCCGATTGATTTGTCTATAATGCTGTAACCATCTGAGAACTGAACGTCTGCTATGTAACCTTACATAGGCGCACGCTCATTCAAGATGGCCGCCTATGCGAAATGTCGCCAAACAAAAGACATATAGACACAACATTCATCTACATAGCCTATTTTTCACCATTAAAGAGGCAACCACAAGACACACACAAGTAAATGTAGTATTCTATATATAAATACCGTCCATAAATATATAAACGCTCCTGAGAAAGTAAATAATTATCACGTCTATCACTTCCTCTTTCAGCTAAAGATTAATCATGAGAACGTTATCAACATAGTACAATAACGTATGTTTATGTATGTCAAAAATAATATATTCGTTGCATATACAGTTATTTCATATCATATCACAACAATCACTTGATTAGGTGGAGCACTTAGTTAGATTTACGATCACACTTCTCGAATGCTGATTAGCCTAATTATCATCCAATATTGCAACCTGATTTATATACCTGTACCTATCATATAATGCACACGTCTCTAAGTGTCGTCGAATCATAGAAAAATCTTTTTTTTTTTAAATACTTTCAGCCTATGTAACACAAAATAAAATAACAAAGCGGTTTCAATTTTTTATTCACAGAATTATGTTTGTTTCCGCAAACAATATTAAAAATCAACCCAAAGTTCAACACAATTGTATTCCTTCAAACAGATTGGTTTTGTACGATTGTATATCTTAAGTTAACTCAAGCTTACGATTACACAAGACTTTAAGATCTACTTAGAGATCGGCGACAGTCGATGTGGCTGGTGCGTTGATTGTTTCAATAGACATGTATTGTTGGGCGCGTTGCTAGCCCCTAAAAGAAGAGGACGTGCTAAAAAAACTCAATAAGAGCTGAATTACTGAATAATCAGCTCGCTCACTGCCATTGAAACGCCAAAATGTCGCGCCTGGTTCATTGCAGATCTATACTTTTTGAATATCTTCTAGTAAGCGCGTGGAAAGATCTCTACCGGTATTTACGTACGCTGCTAGCGTCAATTACATCCAGGCAAATGCCATCCCTATATCCTGAATTTCTTTAAAGTGACGCATTTATAAAAAATGTACTGTCCCTGCTTAGGTTTAACACCGATTATAGGAATGGCAACAACGATCGAACTGAAAACTGTTTCATTTCTTGGTTAATTAAACTAGACCATAGATATAAATTTGTCGGTTAATTTTGTTACAAATTTTAGATTAACGAAAAATTGAGCGTGTACTTCCTTGTCTGCTTGGAGAAACACTTAGCCCTAAGCAAGGCACCGAGGAAAAAACGCTGTCAAGCGTGCGACAATGTAAGATCGATCCATGTGCTGTTGATTTTTTAAATGATGAAGCTTTCCATTGACTCGTGCAAGCTGTGATATGAGATAAAAGACGATTTGTTGACCACAGCCAATTTACAACTCAGCACTTTAGTGGGTAACGTATTTTGCTGCTAACTTTAGCAACACGTTATGATCTATGCTCGAACCCGAGGATAGACATAAGCCAGCCGTCTGATAAAATTCCTATAAAAAATGAAAAAATAGCGATATCGAACGCAACATCTCAAACATAGAGACTATTTGTTATTTGCATATTATAAACAGCGGACAATTAGAAGCTGCTATTAGGCGACAACAGCTAAGAAGCGCATTCATAACGCTGATCAAGCGGTTGAAGAAAGACGTATTGTTAGTTACCAACTGTATGGGTTTCCTGGAGAAATTCGTTTTCCTCAGGAGAAAACAATGTTTCGGCATTACAAACAGAATTACCAAATTTACATATGGTTGCTACTTCAATAATTTGTATGCGTATGTAGATACATCTCCTTGCCGGTTGAGGCTTTCGTGTTGATGGAAATGCATGGCTACTATTTGCCGACGAGCGATATAATTCTCTCGTTACGGATATTCAAACAGGGAATAGAGTAAATAGTTTTCCCTTCCTAATTTAGCGGGTTGAGTTACCAGAATGCGGATAAATAACCTACAACACAGACACATGGTAAAACAAATTACACTCATCTACTGCTGAAACTAACTGATACATAAATCCTCTAGTAAAAGTACTAATTTTTTAGTCGGTATGCAGATTTTACGTAATTCGAGGAAAATGCTGGATAAAACTAGATTAGCCTACACTATACAAAAGCGACACGAATATAAATCTATTAAGAATAATTTCAAACAGATTGTTAATATCCATCTCATTCCAAACCACAACTGATCAACCTCGTTCGCCTCCTAACGCTCGTCCCACTATCCTAACTTATTGATTTGCTCTAGTTTTATAAAGTTTTATTTCTAAAAAATTTTATTAAGTAGCTAGGGTTTTTTAGCACCGACACTTTTTAAATTAGACCTGGCCAACTACGGTTGTCGCATTGGCTGCGATTGTTCGCCCGCTACCCGCCCTTAAATTTCAAGAGGCTTAAGCCATAGTCATTTCTACTTAGAACGTAGAAGATACACGGAGAAATAAACAAACTTCTTAAACTTGTCTATTGTAAAAAAAAAAAGAAGCAGACAAAATAATAATTTGTAGAATACGTCGATGGAAGTATGGTTAAGGATATATATGTAAAGAAAACTTATGGTTATGAGCAAGAAGACCCAAGTATATCTAGAGCTTTTGGATTTCTTTTGAAGGAAGAATATGTTGCAAGAAATGACAGTAAATGAGGTCAAACGAACAATCGCGTACATAAGGAAAAGTAACATGGTGGCAAATTATGTGAAAAATTTTCTATTATTTGTTCTGTTACAACGACCTTATTACTATTATTATTGTTCCCTCCTTTATGTGTTATTCTAATATTATTAATTGATCATAATTTCAATAAAATAATTTCTTATCCAAGAGGCAGTCGCCATGTGCTCTATCGAAATGGATTGTAAATTCTTATTCCACGTAAAGATGCTTTTTTTTCATAATTCGACTAACCATTTACCCTTTGGAAGGAATGTTTTCATTGTACTCCACAGTAAAATCAGAGTCGGTCTTGAGAAAAGCGTTTCTGCAGGTAAATATTTCCATAACATGATGTATATGAGCAAAATAATACACAGCTGCTACTATCGATCGCATTGAATTATATAATTTATAGGAAATTAAACTTTTTCTCGATCATAGAATCGGCATTGTGTTGAATAAATAATAATTTGTTTCTTATTAAAGCTCAGCATAATGGAACTAACGAACCGTACACTTAATACATCTGTGACTTTCTTGAATTAAGGCTTGAACAAATAACATTTATCTCTTTTTACATGGTGCATCTAAAGATTCGCTAAGCGGCGTAATCGTTGAGGCTTTGTATTTTCTATCACTGTTTTTTGCAATACACTTCTTCTTGATAACAGCAGCGTTATCGTACACTTTTTAGAACAAGATTTTAGAACATTCTAATGTGAATATACAAAGGTGGTACATATACTTTAATCTTCTCACCTCTAAGCATACCTATTTTCCACCGCACTTTGGCCGACGTATCCTACAGCTTATTTTACCTATTATTTTTCTTTCCTTATTAAAATCGTTTAATAATAAACCACTATAAATACTCTTGTTCGTCTCTTCGTGTAGCTTGCACGTGCTGCACGATGCAAGCGCTAGCATAAAAGTGCAACCACTCTTTCTAGATTGCTTCAAAGGGCAAAAAGTGTTTATCACATGGTATTAGAAGCATGTGCGAAGTGGATTTGCACGTCATGTAGCATTGCCCTACTGACAAAACCAGCATCCTAGAGGTCACGTCACAGACACAGTTCGAGCTTCGCTTATTCAGCACATCGAGCAAATGTCCAGTACATTTTCCAGTGAGTATCCACTTGCTACAGTCTGAGAAATGATAACTATGTCATAGTGTGATACATGACCATATATATATGGTTTAAACTGGCGATTCCAGGTCCCGAACTGTTCCCTACTGCCGCCGTAATTGCTGCAAGGATTTTCATCTTTTTAGATCGGAGTAGGTGAAATATCCTAAGTTCCAGAGCGAGCTAAATGGAATTAGGTATGAGAACTGGTTTAATCCTTCCCGCCATAGTGCGTACGATAACTTACGAAGTCTTAAGAGAGAAGTCTTATAGTCAGTTTATATTTTGAAAAAGATAACATTATTGATTGGGTGGTAAACTTCACTTCTTATAAGCGTTCAATCTATCATAGGATTCAAGTTGGTGGGAGTTTGTAGCCCTGTTGTTGTGTTTTGAAAAAGACCAAAGATTACATAAATACACTATTACGCGTAATTTACTTTGTGTTTCTAAGGGATAAGACTACCTTCTCCTGTCAGAACATTTCATTAGACAAAATACTGTGCTATCTTTAAATAATTATACCTACTTAGAAGCATATAGAAACATGTAGATCGAACCGGAATTCGTTTCTCTCATATTCGCTTTAGCATGACATATATGTATTTTATTGGTAACATCAAGATGACACAATGGAAAATGAGCTTTGTTTCGAGGGACCGACTGGATAGCCCTCTCATACGGGATACTCGAAAGTTTAGAAGAAGGTGAGTGCCTAACTGAGAGACAATCATCTGGTGATGGATGGTAGATTTTTAAACATATTTATTAAGGTCTTTAAACATATTTATCGCATTCTATTGTTTACTTTCTTGAAACAGGCCTAATTATCCTGCTGAGTCATATAGCAAGGAAGGGAGGCCTCTCCTATATAGCTATAGCTATTGAATAAACTTTCGACCTAGGCACACATCTCCTAGGCTAGGTCAATCAACATCGTAATTTCAAAGTGCTAGTGAATATAAGAGACTGCGCGTAAGGGATTCATCGAGAAGACAAAGTGTATAGGACGTGTACAGATTAATGTACTAGCCACGATTTTAAGATATTAATCATAGGTAAAACTATGATACACGCCGGAGATGTGCGCATAAGTTAAAAGTTTGAATGAGAAATATGGAGTCGAAAACTTATTCAGTGGCTACAGCTTATGAAGTCATCACTTTTGTCGAGACGACATCGTTTCTCTTCTAAAGTTAACCATTCAAGAAGATCAGTGCAATATACGTCAATTAATCACGGTTCTTTGATTGTTAATCGTGTCTTGATAACTGTAAAAAATTTTTAAATCGGGTTGATATAAGGGTACTTTAGATGAAGCTTATAAATATAATATATAATATACATTAGTCCATAAAGCTGTTTCCAGCTCTATAAAATTGTCTTTCAGGTGAAGCGTGTCATGCGCTTTGAAATACCGCCGGATGATATGTGACAGGTAATTACGACCCATGTTCAGTTTTATAACATTTTATGTATAAGATATCTAATACTCACTTTGTAAACCCTTAAATCATTGCTATTTGCCATCGATACATTTTATTTATTCTAGGAACGTATGCCGTTTGCGTATTAGTCCAGGACCAACTCCAAGAGCTCACATCAACGATTTGAAAATGCAGAGGAGACTGAGGCATTTCTCTATTTTTCGTCGTCTTCATGAAGTGTTTCAAAAGCAACAATTTGATAATATTAATAAACGTAATGCTTAATTTTTATGAAAATGAATAGAATTGCACGTACAAAAAATAGAAATCGGAGCTTGCAAGATCGATATGACAAGGTAAATTGCCTTAAATTATTCTCATGATTTAAACGAATGATTTATTAAATCAACGAGCAGAGAACTGACCTTGCAAAAAATTCTTCTATCCTTTGTTCTCGTCACTGTCAATGCCAGTATATCAATATTGTTCATGGCAGAAAAAACAAGTTTTATGTACGGAACTGTATTTTATAATGGAAATCAATAGAAATAAAGAAGCCTTTGGAGCTGTAAGCACCACTGTCCTGGTTGACTGCAAGACGATGCAGATCAACCTCCATACACGCGGTGCACAATAACCTGCGAAGCTATTAATAATCTAACCTAACCCTTTTAATCGCCTCTATTTTAAGAGGCCGGCCACTTTCTTTAAAGGCTTCCGCTGGCCATGATTGTGGCCGTTGTCAGCGGTGCTTCAGCAGGCGCTATGGATTCGGCTTAAGCTATAAGGCCTTCTACTCGTACCTTAGCACGAATGCCCATGGCCCCTAGTGACACTTTTTATCCTCTTTCTAACTGTTCCATTCGTTACCTCTGGTTTTTGTAATATTCTTAGCACCATTTTTGTTGAACAAATTAATTGAAACTTCATGCATCTTTAAGTAGTGATAAGAGTTTACAGTAGCTATAGTCCATTCTCGACGCGACTACTCAGAGAACAGGCTTTTCTACTTTAAGATCCAACTAACTACATTCTAACAATATTGTAGCATACGTGTTCTCCATGATAATATCATTCGGTCAGGTTGAGTTAAATGTGAACTCTAAGCCTTTGCCCGTCGACACTTTCTACAGTTAGTTATAACCCTAGTTAAAGGGGTGTAGTAAGTAATGTGCACAATAACATTGAAGACGATTAAATTTAAAGAAACCATTAAATTTAGGATGAACTGAGCTTGAATAATCTATATATAAAGCGACAGTGACTGCATTGTAGTGACTTCGCCAATTACAAACCTCTAACGAAAATATCTAACATAGTTAAAGAAAAAAAAAAATCGATATAAAAGTATTGCCTCGTTTATCCACGTAATGCCTTGTACTGGATTACAAAGCAGTTACTACGCACCCCTCACATGCTTAAGCTGTTGCCTAGAGACGCCAGTTCTCTTCCATTTCGAAACGCAGGAGAAAGGCAACGCCTATCGAAGCTCTCAGCTGTTTCAGGCCTGTAGCTGACATTAGAAGTTTGTGTTGGATCGAACGTATGCAGCACCGATTAAATTACAAAGATATTGACAGAATATTTGGTTCTGTGTGTTCACGATTAAGGATATTAAAGTGAATCATTTTGGACCTAAGTAAATTTAGAAAAGAAAAACAGTGCTTCGTACAGTTTTGTTTGAAAATGTTCAAAGTCCCTCTTTATAACGGAGTGACAACAAATTGTTCGCCCGTCGAGTCTAATGCATCGCTTAACAAGGGCAAGTTGGCTGTATATGATTTTTAGTTATACACAAAAGTTGTTCAAACTTGTACCCCTTACTTCTTGTTTCACAGCATGTCGTGTGAGTCAATTCTCTTTTTTTTTTTTTTCCAATATGTACGGTAGTTATGAAACACCAGTATCGAATAGATATAATGATATTATGACCAAACATCCTTAGTATGTGAGCATCTGAGAACACATAAATTATTACGTATAGAATTGAATTGATTTTCTAAAGATGGGCGAAATAGATTACAAAGGAAGTGTTCTTTGGGTGGCCAAAGAAGATTTTAAAACTTATAGTAAATTATTCTGATGTAAAATCATTACAAGCTGTAAAAAGTCAGAGACACGAACGTTTTAAGTGACTCGCAAATCCTTCACGGTTAATATGTAAAAGATTATCGTTATTCTCTGGGTCGATCTAAAACAAAAAAAGAAACAACAAGCGTGTTTAGTTTCTACGTGCTTATTAAAGGTATATTATTGTTGTTAAGCTTTATTCATTAAAATTATTATTATTAGTTCTTCGGTATTCGAAACGATACAACAGAATAGTGAATACTATTAACTAAGGTAAGCTAACCTGCGCGTGGTGAAGAATCAAAAACGGAACTGACGGAACGAAAGTCCTAAATTACTTCATAGTACATGGGGGTAATTTTTCTTAGTCCAAGACTCGCTTGTCCTTTGCAGATGCGCCCTTATCGATTTAGCTGCACACGAACCGTTGTGGTCGGACCGTAACTGATACGACAGCTATGGCCAAACTGCTTTTGTTTGGTTGGCAGATTTTGTGGTTGTGCTATGGAGTTTCTACACTGGACTTTTTCATATTTGCGTTGCAGTATCCAGTTGGATATTGTAAAGTTACAGTCAAGTATGAATTTTCTCATGCAGATACTTTAAACTTGACATATGCTTTTACGTTAAAGATCCCCTTAGAAATGTGTTATCGTTTTAACTTAAAGTAAAGCAAAATGCGTTATTGAGCAACCTACAGATCAAAAAATGGCATCGTATTGGTGGCTAGCTGAAGATTACAATAGAACTGATCAGACAAACAAACTAGAGCTTAAACGCTTCGACGAAACCCAAGTGAGACCTCCTTAGTGTCTACTTTATATACCTTTAAATAAATTTTACTATATCAAGTATATATCAAATAAATATCTATAATGTTTAAGATACTTAAAAATATCTTTAGATAGAGACAGTTTAAAATAGAAGGTGCTTTCGCGGAATCAATCAACTTTAAAACACTATGTGTCGATCTCCAAGATGTACCATAGCAATTCTGTATTTCAGCACTGAACTTATTTTAATATACAATGCTTGTCTTCTTATAAAACGCACTATTCTCGTATATTATTCGTTTCTACATCTTGTGAGGTTTGAATATTGATATATGTTGCTCTCTATATGACAGGAATAGGTGTCGTGAGCATAACATGCGAGAACACTTTACAATTCATGGTCTTTGGCCGGGGTCGACGGCACCACATGCTAAGACTGAAAATTGTCACCCCTATGAACACTTCAATGTAGAAGATCTTACTCCAATACGCAGTAAGTTTAATTTGGTCTCGGGTAGCAAACTCAACTCGTTTGAGGGGTTAGTTAAGTTTGTTTAAGTGGATCAAAGCAAATATAAATCCTCTAACAATAATAAGCCAAAGTGATGGCTGGGTAATAATACATACTGTGCTTCTTGGAAATAATTTTCTAAGCAACATTTTCGGCGTAATTCTAAAATTTATGCACGAAATTTTTTCTTTAAAACACGTTCCTTCCGTGTGAATTCGTAGTTTTTTTTTGCAATGAATTTTGTCTAATTGATGTAGACATAGAATTGATAAAGGTAAGTGCGGGCATGGGCGGGGCTCAGAAATTTAAATACGATACGGCGTGGCCTGGGCCTTTGACACGTACCTGTCTTACTGCATTGTCATTCTGTCGCTTGTATCGCTGCGAAACGGCGTCACAGGTTTGGTGGAAAAAATCTTGGATATATTCAGTAAGATCCATTCTGGTTAGATTTCTAATGGGGCAAGTCTTCAATTTTATAGCAAAAAATAGGTGATCCCGAGGATGCGTTCACATAAAATAAATAATTAAGAATACTATACAAAGAAAAAAGCGATTATTTGTTTAGATTTTGAGTCTCCAATTATCATTGGGTTTTCAGCTCGTCTGGAAGAGATATGGCCATCAATGAAGTCTCACAATCCTGCACAGTTTTGGGCCCATGAGTGGAAAAAGCATGGCACTTGTGGTGTCTCGGTTCCTGGGCTTACCGGATTTTTAAGGTTAGCTCCATTGTACGAATGGGGAGATTGGAGTAGAGAAATAGAGTACTAAATGTCGTGGCTACAAATGCCATTATGGATGCATAAATGCATGTTTCAATCTTCAAGCCTGTTACCGTCGCTAAGCCCGGCGTCAGGAACCGCTATATTTTAAGCACGATATTATTATCATAAGGCAAGACGCGCGAATTTACAAACAGGCAAGTCTATATATCTAATTATAAAGGTAAGTATATTGATATGATTTTGTTCAACGTATTTTGTTAGCATGCATTACAGGCTCCGCTATAAGTCAGTCAACTGTCGTGGCAATTATTATCAAGGGCCTTAATTTAGAATCGCCAGTTAAAGAATCCCATGAGGCATTTACATGGTCCTTTCTTGTAGAAAAACACACTTACGGATTCTTTCACAAATGTGTACCACATTTAGCCCAGATATAGCATGAAGACTCAGTTTGTTTGTTATATTATAGAGATATTCTGGAGAGGCAATAAATTGCTTGGTGCATTCCGGATTGTGTGTTGTCTCTGAACGAGATAACGCAGCCCAATAGTAATCAAGCCCATATTCTTTAACCTTTCTTTTGTAACCTTTTCTATGTTTTTTGTTTTTTTAATTTCACTTCCTATATGTAGCGGTGTGGGTTGAAGCAAAGAGCGAAAATTACTCATGACAAAATATTCTGAAGGGCATCAAACTTTGGCAAAAAGCACACAGACTTTAAAAAAAAAACTATCACTATGTAACGCTATCTGTTTTCTACTTTTTCATGCATTTTTAGTTTCTTCAACACGACGTTGGCATTGTATGAACGCTTCAACCTGACCCAGTTCCTCGAAAATGACGACATCCTGCCGTCAGCAGCAACTTCTTACGCTGTCGCGGATGTCCAGCACGCCCTCAAGAACGATCTCTATTCAAAGGTAAAAATACAGTTTTATTAATATTAAGGTAAAATAGATTGGGTAAAATGAGATTTGCCAACCAGCGTGTTAAACTCGTACACAAAGGCGGCCTTAATGGGATTTCCTGCACGATGAAACACAAGTTACGTTGATATTATTCCTAACAACGTATTGAAATCCATTAACAAAACGGTACGAGTAGTTCACATATAACATTATTCTATTCGGTTTCGACTGATTTATGATCGTGTATTAAGTTATAAGGCGTTAAATAAATATAGGTTTACGTTGAAGTATTCCCTAACAAGCGTATTTTCCTTTAAAACGGCTATATTGTATTTCTAAACAGTTTAACTAGAAATGTAGCCTATATCCTTGGAACTATACTAATATGAATAATAAAGAATGATAATGAAGAATAAGCTACTTTTTGCTCTAAACCTGCTTCCGGTCCGTTCTTTCAAGAACGGACCGGAAGTAGGTTTAGAGGAGTGATCTTTCTTTCAGGCGGTGGGTTACACCAGAGCCGACTTCGTAACTCTAACACCGATCTATTTATAATTGTATTTTTTATAGAAACGTAGTGTATTACGATTTGAAATTAATACTGATGTACAACTTGGCGTGATTCAATGTCCGTGAGCTATACTTTGGTAAAATGATATATTTTGTACTTCCAGGTTGATTTAGTGTGTGATCAAGCTAACAGTTTCGAGTACCCTGTACTCACGGAAGTACATCTTTGTCTCAATTTGGATCTTCAACCTATTGACTGCCCCTACAAAAAAGAACGTTGTGGAAAGGATAGGATGTTTTTGCTGCCCCTTAAGGATGATGATCGCGTTCCAGGAACCATCAGCGGGGCGCAAGACAGCCCCTATAGGAAAAAATCGATGAGCGACTTCTCCACGTTCGGAGCTCATATTATCGTTGCGATATTAGCAGCGCTGCATATCACCAGGCCTCGAGTGCTGCCCTGATCCGGGATTTGGTGTTTCTTAGATCGCGAACGACCTTTTTTCAACTTAACAAGCGATATAATGACAGCAAAGAGGAACTAGTTATTATTAGGCTCGCCTGTTATACTTGGGCAAGCGAATTATCCGGGTTTCAACAACTTACTTACTTATACTTATTCAACAACAGGTTTTGATCGATTCTTGAAGGTTAAGCTGGATTTTCCAAATCCGATGCAATCACTCTTTAGGTGTATTTGAAAAATAATAGCAACCTGAAATCCAGCTGTATTAAATATCTCTAGAAATCTTTTAACTGTGTCAAAGAGGATCAAGTGGTTCGACGCATGTGCTGTGCTTTTAAGAAGAGATCCTGAATTATAGGAACTTTTTAAATTTTAGCTGCAGGTTCTAAAACTAGTTCACTGATATAAAGATCATAGTAATTTCTCTACTTATCAACTGGAATAAGATTTAACCACTAACTTCTGCCACCGACAAAAAGCGCCTACTACATTGCAGCAAGCTTACAACACACAATGAAGTTCAACGAGAATGTGCGATTTTATTGTCGGAATAAACGTCTGGATTAAAAATAGGATTTGGCGTAGGTAGTTTTTTTTTTTTGAAAAACATGTATTGTACGCAAACAATTAGGCGTATTAAGTGTCATTAACAGTAAAACCCTTGAAACTGAATTGTTGTTTTTGCAAGAGTGTTTTTTTGATAGTGACCTGAACTTCTCTCATGACGATTAGTATCTGCAGTATAATCTCATGCCTCGCCAGAGGCCATTCAATTTTATTTTTGCTAGAAATAAATACATCTGAGTTCTAGATTTCTTTCTACCTTTGCACTGTATTTATTTCTCGAACAAGTTACGCAACGTTCTAACTTCCTGAAGGGATTTTTTTGTCTGTATACGTGAGAATGATGTGGTTAAGAAAGAATACATAGTGTCTTTCAATTCAATAGGTTCAGCCGATAACTGTCGTTGCATAAATTGATTGAATCTTCCGTTAATTTTGCTAAGAGATAATAAATATCAAGGTATTAGGTTAAGACAACTACATCTTGTCCCCCTATATGTATAAGCTTGAGCTATTTGTGTAATGGTGAATCTATTACTCAATTTCCTTTTTATTTTTTTCTGTTACGCCAAATCGTGTAATATCATAGTTTATCGACTGAGGTAGCATTCGATTACAGGCTATTGTTCGCAAACACCATTGAACGGTTATTGGGGACGCCAGAAATCCTACAACGACTGGTTAGAAATAGAACATTCGTTGATGACGAAGCCTTAACGGGAGATTTCTCTGCCGATGTGAAATATAGTATGAGAGCCTTAAACGAAATGCTTTACAGTAGGTAAGGCACAGCAACAAAGACCTTCTAATTGGTGCACAGGTTGAAGTGAGGAAAAAGCGGGTTACTCAGTGCCTTGTCCGCCTATCAGGAAGATTGTCTTTGCATTTCATTGCTTATGAGGATGCGTAAGTAAATATTTACATATGGTTATAAACTTGCGGTTCTTATTCTTGCCTCTTACGCTACACCATGTAATAGCTAGGGCGATCCGATGCATGCCTATTTTAAACCACTAAGCTCAATTTCAATATTGCAACACTGCTAAACTTAGAACTCTTCTATTTTAAGTACCTTTAACATGGAAACGTGCTAATTTGTCTATCCGAGGTACTAACTTGTCGCAAGTTGGCAAAACATTCGTACGTTGATATGGCCACCGCGACAGGATATCACAGGAATAGACAGTAAATTGTATCAATAATAATTGAATATTTTTGTTGCAATAATCAGACTAAGAACGTACCTTCCCATTCATATACATTGAACATATGTCAATTATATTGAATGCTGACTTTTGCATTTTGCCAAGGAAGGCTGAAATTGTCAGCGTGAAACCGCACTCGATCTACCTGTACTCTTTACCGTACTCCATGATAGATCCTAGAATGTCACGCACGATGAGTACTACACCACAACAATATAAAAGCAACAGGCTAAGCGGAAGTAATAACAATTATAATGGATTGTTCCATGCTCCCGCAATCAGGCATCTTCTGTTTAGGCCTTCTGTTTCGTTCGCGCTCAGCGTTGTCAAAACGAAATTTCATCGTGCATTATGACGACTCTCGTCTGGACGACATAGTGCTTCAGATTGAGCATAAATAAAAACACAATTCTTCTGTATAATGGTGTGTGTTGTTTATTTTCTATGCTTAGTAACAATAACAGTGTCGGAGTCGATAGCTCTTTCATTTCCGGCTTAGCGCGTTACCGAAGCAATTTTCCGTTACAACATTCGCGACTATTATCGCATAACTACCGTACATTGTCGCAGTCAACCGCGTCCGTATCAACTTCAACTTTTCAAAGCAATGCAAGTTCCTATATCGTATTTTAGCTGTTGCGGAGCAGTTTTTTTTCATATCTTTTATACATAACATGTCGTTTTACAGAATGCTTTCGGAGGTAAACAACAGCCGATAGTGTTTAATGAATGTTACATCACCAGTTTGTGAACACCTCTTCATCGTTTTCACCGCTCAGTTTGGCCCGTCATGTTGGTTCCTTTTTTTTTTTTCTTTTCACGATCTTTTGAACACGCACAAAGCGAATGACCGAGTTAGAATTTTTGCCTAGTAAAGACATGAGCTCCAATATACGACGCGCTTGAGCGAGGTCTCTCTTTTTAGTCATACTTTGCTGGTCAGAAATATCGACAACAGCGCATATCCGAACCGATTGCGGTTCCTTTTAAAATTTTTCCTTACATCATGGAAAATGAAATAGATTTATACGAAAAAAAGCTTTCGCTACGAAACCGATCATCATTGATTATGACAGTTGCAGTCCTAATGGAACACTTACAAAACATATTCTAATCACAAACATGGAACCGATTATAGTCATCAATTCAGAGTGTTATCTCAACACGCCATTATGTCACAGTTTCTAGGCCTGTTTGGCATACTCAGCTGTGTAGTAGTACCGTAATCGGAGCTTTATATCGCTAAGATTGCCAGTATAGAAAATTAGCATATATTTTCCTTGCTGAATATCTTTTTCGTTACGATCTGATCACATACACTAGATAAACTGTGAAGTACCTAGCTTATAACCGTAGCTGTACTTGTCCCGAGTTGTTATTGTAAGAAATTAATGTTAAATCAATCGGTTACAAAAATTAAACAATCAAAGTGGTCATTTTTATAGGAAAATTTTCCAATGTTAAGAGGTTGCTTACAAAAGCAACGGACAAATCCTATTTGTTTATGAGGGCCTTTGAGCTGAGTTTCATTAAACCACGTGACAGCTGAAGCTGCGTGGCAGTTCACAGACAGATAGCCATACACAAGCCACTGGCAAATAGGAACCCTTATCTACATCGGTACTAACTGCGTCGTACACACTTCTACTGCTGTAAAGTAGAGAGAGAAATACTGAAAATTGTTATATCTGTAACAATTATTACAATGTTCGTACCATCTTTCTACCAGGATCAGTTACATAAATAACTCCCGAGTTCCAAATGGATCGCAATTATTTGTTAGTTTCAATCAAATCACTGACTTTCTTGGAGGTTACATTGAAATACTAAATAGAACAATAAAAGTAGAACACGAAAGTTTATTTCTAACTACGAACGTAGAACTGTTATTGATACATGCTGGTCTTATCGGCAACACCGATGATTCAAATAAATACCGACCTACCCTGCCAGTAAATAAACCTAGTCAGGGTTTATCGTAAGTCGTTTTCGGCGGGCGATCGCACAAGGGTTAGGCGACTCATAGCACTTTGGAAAAAGTTTAGAACTTAGATGCTCAGTCCAGTTGTTCGTGTTGTCGGAATTCGTTAGACCCATAATTGCTGGCGACATTATGTGAAGGTGATAATATCGAACCTTTTATTGACAACTTTCGCGATATTGTCTATTTGCGTATTGTAGTCAACAGGAGATGTTGAATTCGATGATCAACACAAGCTTCTTATGCCCATCTGTCTGTTGTTGTCACTTATATATCAGTAATTCGTAGATTTGCTTAGCTAGCTAGCTAGGTACAACAACGCATATTTGGTCACATTATAAAAAATTCCTTGTGCATTTGAAGTCAGCGATAGAGTACGCTGACCTAACTTCGAAATGCGCCACGAGTAGCCACAACATTGGCGCATAGCGATCCTCCTCTCAAATAAAAGTCAAGATCTTTACTTGACCCTATTTAGTTATAATGTCTTTCGACTAATTAATTGATTACTTATTGTGATTACTGATTAAAGATACCGTTTTGTATCTTGCTTTTGCTCTATCTCTATTTATCTTGTACTTGTTTTTAGTATGAGGATTTGTTTAACAAGCAGAATGCCCTAATTCGAGAAACATTAAATTTTTTATAAATTCAAATTTCATCATCGCTTTAGAATCTAGCTCGAGCCAGAGTCAACATGGCTTTCGTTCGAGTCTCGTAGAACAAAGTACCCCGTATCGTCGCAGCATGGAAGGTCGGGCGTACTAATCTTTCGAAAGCCAGCTTTAGATGTGTATAATAACAATAACAACAACAACGCCAACAACGAGTACCGCTTCTATCTCAACGTTGCAATAGCAATAATACGATCTTTTACTAACATCCATAATCGATATTTCGCTCCTGTTTTACTCATCATTCACTATTTTTTCTCTTTTTACTGACTCGTATCATGTCTGTCTGTTCTTATTCTATTCATAAGTAGTTGTATATAGGTGAATTGCAAGGGTGATGGCCTTCATGACCTTCTGAGAGTACTGGCAGGCTTATTCCGCCGAAACCTCATTATCAGCTTCAAGTATCTCCACTCCTTCTGAAAGATAATAAAACAAATTCTGAACACATTAGTATAGACTGAGTTAGTTCATGATACCGGAAGATATAAAGAGATCCGACAAAATAAAGAGATGCTTTCAGAGGTCCAACGAAGCGTATAACTTATCAGAGGCGACGGGAGTCCGCTAGGATTGACGATAGGCGAGCCTAATACCCCATCGACTTCAATGGAAGCCTTCCAAGGAGCCGTTTGCTACAAAATAGGGAAGGCTCTACACACCTTTCAACGTTTCAAAAAACTCAGCACACACAGGCAAACGATTAGAAAATGCTCATGGTCACGTTGGTTCCAAGCAAAAGAAAAGTAGCGTGTCGCCCCCATCAAAAGGGTGCGATAATAATGGTCTAGTAAGCAGAATAACTTAACGTATAATCCAGGGTGCTGCCCCTCATTCGAACGTTGGTCCAGTCATTATGATCATACCGTTCAGACTGATATTTCACGGTGAAATGATAACGTGGAACTCGGACTTATTGTACCGAAATTTCTACGCTTATTAACACCTTGTGACATACCGAAAAGACCGACGGATGACGAAAACCTGGTATATCAAGAAAGAGAAAAGGCATTTGACGTTGTCAATATAATGGAATCCAGCGAGACAAAGATTGCTGAATTTAGTGATTTCACCATCAAGATAAGTGGAAACGTGGCAGCTCCGTTTAAGTACAGGAGCCTACTCACACTAATAATAATAGGTGAAACAAATACGAACGCTTTCTTATGGAAGCCAAACATAAAGCCTTTCGGAAAATACCGGTCACGCGAAAAGGGCCTTGCTCGTACAAGGAGTATCTATATAATTACGGACGACGCCTTATCCTACTGACAGATCATCGATCATTATTTTTGGATAAAATTCGGAATTCCTATCCATTCTGCTGCAAAGATGACCAACGGTTCTAGCTTAAAACTCGAACATGTGTATACAAATACAGTAAACATTCATTAAGCGGATGTCTAATTAAGTGAACACTGATTCGTGGAGTTTATTGCGCTTTCTCATGCTGCGAAGGAGGACCACAGACGACGCTGCAATATGACGATACGAAAAAGCGCTAACTTGTACGTATGGCGACCACTGGCCTGACAAAATTTCATGTAAGGTTCACCGGTGCATTTTGCCGATTGAAGGAATCAGTTTCAGTCATCAAGATATGCAGATCTCGCTGAATTGCTCAATAACAAAATATATTTCGATATCGTTGATGTTCCAAGGTATGAAATCAATAGCAACTTTTAGTACTGATATGTTAAAGCGCGCCATAATTTAAATATCAGGTGAACGAACTCGAGGAAAGACTTCAATACACTCTTGCTGTAATATATGCTGTTGAGCACACATGTTGTAAACACAGGAAACTTTCAGTTAAGATGCTTGGAAGATAAATTTTTCACTCTTCAGTTACTGGCTTTGTGAAGCTTCAGGTAACAGGAAGACTAAAGAAGCATGTAAATTTCGATTGGTGACCCTTTTTATATCGGTAACTATCGAAATCAACATAGCGAAATTTGGGCAAAAAAAACTAGTTGAAACGTTGAAGGAGTCCATTGTCCATACTGGTAGAATGAATGACACGGACAAGGTATTTGAAGCGAATCCATTCACGATCTCCGATTGATATTTTCAGCTTGGTACCAACAAATACCACAACTTACCCTTCTGGGTCAACCGATATACGTGTTTAACTTAAAAACTCCATCTAGTCGTAATCTGGACACAAACCTAGGATTAGGATGATGTCTTTCGCTTAGAATTCTACAACCACCCATCAAACCATTGATCGTAGCAGTGGATAATGCTTACGTTAAGAAAAGAAGTGATATCGGAACGTATAAACGCAATAAAAAAATAATAGTTTAAGGATACAGATAATACACCAGTTTAATTTTTTCCCCGCTTAAATAAAAAAAAAAGGTGCTCAAAATTATTTCCTAGATTTAGCTCTAATAGTACTCAGGACGTTCACACTACCCGCTCACAAATTAACGATTTCACATAAAATCGTTTGAAAGAATGATACCACAGTTTGAGGGTAAACATTATAGTTTTATTAAAATTAGCTTTTCCAATGAAAAAGACAATCATAATATAGCCTACTGAAAAACACTACGTCCATACAGAACAATTGACCCCTAATAACAAACGCTGTGTTTTACGTAATAATCGTCGTGAGTTAATATCCTTGGATTACTTACTAACCTTTACTATCCTTTGACGATTCAAGTGGAATCCAATCCAGAACACAGGTGGTCGAGATGTCAAGCACCAATCTGACGGAAGGTGTCTTTGCATAGCTTACTCCACTTGAGCCAGTTGTGAGCTCTAACTCCAGTACAGATTTGGGTTCTTGTTCAGCAGTACCTAGAAAAGGAATCAAGAATTCTCAGGCCTAGGAATCGAGAACAATCAACTATATAATCGCGAAGGCAAATCGACTATAACTAAAACCTAGAAAAATTATGATCTCTATGTAATATCAATCTCGACCTAAAAAGTTCTCTTAACAAACCCTGACAATATGCGCTGCTTGGAACTTTAGTCAGTAGGCATACCTGCTTTATCGGATTCGATGTGGCTTGTTTGTTTCAACAACGGAGACGATGTTGGACGCGTATTGAGAAGTTTGACAGCTTCATCAACAAAGTGGTTTGTTACACGTCTGCATCCGCTGATGTCAACTTTTGTAAGGGTTGGACAAAGTGATACAAGAGTAATTAGTCCCTCGTCGGCGATCATTGGGCAGCCACGAACTTCGAAACATTCAAGAGCTCCCTGAGTGGAAAGTGCACAAAGTCCAGCGTCGTTTACTTTATTGAGATAGGACGCCCTGAGTGTCGTCAAGTTCAAACACTGGCTCAGTGCACTGAAGGCTAGATTCGTCAGTCGGTGACAACGTGAAATGTCTAGAATTCGCAGGCGAGTACAGGCGCGTGCCAAGACACACACGACATCATCTGTCACTTCGGCATTTTCGGCCAGATAGGCTTCTTCTAATTGTTGCAGTTTTTGGAGCGCAGTACACAGACCCGTAGAGGTAAGATTCTTCAGCCCTTTTCCTTCGAGTTTGATTCTGCGAAATTTGATAATTTTTTATAAGCATCTTCCACTATATCTGGTTTTTCACCCCCAAAGAATATTGACAATACAAGTAAACTGCTTCTAGTCACATACACTTTAATGTAAGAGATGAAAAAAGTACTATAATGCGCCTTTAGTTACAACACAGGCGCCTAAAAATTTGAAGCAAATAGAGAACTCTGTCACTCCCTATGCAAGGCAAGCTGTTATGGCATTCGCTGCAGATCTACTTATTACATTTTGATAGCGCGCAGGTTCGAACAGATGTAGTTGAGGTCTTTATCGCTAAGCTGAGTGACCGAGTTGAGGCTGAGGCTCTGAAGAAATGAGCACTTGGTAGCAAGTTTCACAAACCCCGAGTGCGTCACTCCCACGCAAGCATCTAGGATGACACAGCGAAGACGCTGACTGCTCATGTGAAAGCACTGGCCGGTTAGTTTTGATACCCCCGATAAATCGATGTGCTCTAAATGCTTACAGAGGTGGAACAGCCACCAAAGGCCCTTTTCGCCGATGTCGCGACACCCGGCAAGCTCGACCTGCGATTTGAGAATTAGACATTGTTACCGAAACGTTTAAATGTAACAAGTGAAGGCTCGGCCCTCGTGAAGCGAATAAAATAGTGCCGAGTAAATAAATCGTTTATTCTTACAGACATGATCTGATACATCTAATGATGCCATCTGTCAGTAGTAAAGTGCTGAGCTACCGCTATCTTTTTACTCAAATTGCTAATCGTACCTTGCGCAGATTAGGACATTTTTGCGCCACTTGCTGCAGCGACACGTTACTCAACGGTAGTCCCGACATGTTTAACTGCTCTAAATGAGGACATGTTTGCGCGACCTGTTCCGCAGCTTCTCCACCAGCCATAGTATGATTAACCATTGAGAGATCTACTCGTCTAAGAGAGTTTTTACAGCGCGTCAGCAAGGCTCGGAAGATGTCGATCGTTAACGCTAAAGTTGGTATCAGATAAGCAACTAATTAACCATGATGTACATGATACTGAACTTAGTTAATTCCACTGATTGTGTATATAGTTCTAAGTGAATCCTAGTTCTAAGTGAGAACTAAGAGAATCTAAGTGTATTTTGCCGAAGTTAAGCTATAGCTATTCCGATTGCAACAGCTGGAGAAGAAATCTTACGCTGCTTGGTTGTAAACGATTTAAGTGCAAATCCAATATCCTCCTCAGCACCCCATAACTTGAGAGCAAGTCGCTGCCAGCGTTTACATACGCGTTCCATTCGTACACGAGCGCGCCAATCCAATCGTGCCAATATGGCAGACATCACCTATAAAGCGGAAAATTAAACAAACATTGCATATAGAGATCGCAGGCACATTTATGAATCAAGCGAAGGGAAGGCTATGCAGTCGTATTTAGCAAATTTATTGCCATGTGTATGCCATGGTCTTCAGTACAAGTGAATGGGTGTGTAATGTAAACAAATTTGTTTTGTCTTACTTCATCGGGCATTTGATTAAGGTTTTCCACACTCATTACGGGTACGTAAATCGAGTCGTCATCAAGGCTCTCATCGATGCCATCAATCTCGTCCTGTTGTCAATTTTCACACAAAACACGAACAGAAACAGAAAGTACAGTGAGTTACCAGACAATCTACTTTGCTTAAGGTGCATTCCGTTACAAGATTAAGAGTCAGTTTTTGGTACGCTTGGGGTGCTTCACGCTATTTCCCACTACAAAGAGGCTCTTTTTTCAAGTTTAGGTATCTATTTGGATACTCCACGTTTGGGTGTCTATACCCAAAACAACGATATTACGAAGGATTATGTACGAATGAACACTCGAGGCCCCTGCGACAAGCTGAGTTTCACTACGATATACAGAAATGCACCGCACCATTTATAGAAATCATGAAACAGACAAGTGACATTGAACCATTGTATATATAAATTGTGCAATAGAAGTACAGTTACTACCGATAAGTGTGACCTTAAGAAGCGGCCAAGCAAAACAGGTCACGCAGATGATCAATAATTTGCTTCCATAACAGTGGGTAGCCTACTATGTGAAATTACATGTTCGTACCGTTTCTAAATACCTTAAAATAATTTAAAGCAGATTAAATTTGGAAAATTGAAGCTACTTATCCAACGAATCCCACCTTAAGACGTCGTTCTTTAGCCGCCAGTTGCCGCAATTTGAAAGTTCTTTTATCGCTGGCAGGCAGAATTCTCAGGGCACGCCCATCACACATGATGATTCCCTGACGCCCGGCCTCAAGCGCCCTGTCCGCTTCCTCCTTCTTGGAGAATGTCACAAACCCAAAGCCCCGCGACCAGCGTCGCTCCGCGTCCACGCATATCGTTACGTCTGTTACCCGTCCAAACTGCGTGAACAGTTCGCGCAGATCGGACTTCGTCGTCTAGAACAGTTTCGAGTAAGAAGAGCGTGAAAGTGAACGAACAAAATTAATAGCTTAGGCATTAATTTTGTTCGTTACAGGCATTATTGCCCACGCAGTGGGCATCAACTCAGAGAGTCTTCGGCTTTTAAAAAAAACTTGTTTGTTTGTGGCTTGTGTTTAGGTTGATTTATGAAGCTAAATCGCGGGATATAGTATTAGGGAAAGCCAGCTTGCGCCTTACTGCTTTCCTGTTCTCTTACCTTGGACGAGATGTTACCGATAAAAAGCTCCCTGTTGAGTAGCATGAAGTCGTCGTTTTCGCGAACCGAGTCAGCGTCTTCGTTAGGCGAATCAATCTCTCCATCATCATTATCCTCGCCTTCAGTCCAACTGTTTTCCCTCTCCTCGTGAAGACCGGCTTCGGAGCGGCGTCGCGGGTCAAAGAGGCGACACTTCCTAGGTGAGGGCGTCTTGCAGAGGCGCTCGCGCAAGGCCTGAGAAACAAGCATACATATCACAATGTCGCTATATATATAAATATTATGAAGGCTTTTGACAACACAAATACCAGAATCGAGATATATAATGCGTCGGTACCTGTTCGGAGAAGACCCAGTTTTCTCTAATAGGTGTGGAGACCGGTGTAGCTGGTAGGGAAGAGCGGTAGACGGCACCAGGTGGGAGACCTTCACCGAGCAGCACGGCATTAAGGCCCAGAAACGCGTCCTGGTGTAATTTCTGCAAATAGCGCAATCGATAAGCGTAGGAATACATTTCTCTGCCCTGCTTGTTTTCTAAGGTTGCGTCGCCGTTAGGGGGGCAAAGCGGGAATTTCAGCGCTGCGACGTCCGTGCCGGCAAGAGCTGCCCCACCTCCGAGCTGAGTTAAGGCTAATGAGAGTTGTGCAGGACTAAATGCACCGATCTCCTCGAGCCCTGTCTCGGAACGGGCCCGTGCACGCAACAAGCCAGCTTTCTGTAACAACAACAACAACAACAACAACAACAACAACACTTTTTTATCAAATAGTTTCGGTTCTGGTGCATGATGTATATTGCAATACTTAAAATTGGCCTCGCCCTCGTAAGCCCATACCTCATTGTTATTACAGTATCACTACCTCTAAGAACATCTATCGGTAGTCACTTGTTTGTTGACGTATATCATTGAGAAATTGTCCAAAAATTACTAGAATCCGTGCCAATTGCGTTTCACGATCTGCAGTGAAGTTATTAGTCGAAATAGCTTCTAACCAAGTTTACGCAGGTAGCCACGTACGCAGTTACTCAGGCGGCACAGCTTTAAAAAAGACTTGTCAACTACGCGTACGTATCGTTATAGTTTTGTCCAAATGGTGAAGCGCACTATTCTTCATCTGAAGATATTCTGCGTTCGAAGTGAACTAATCCTGTAAGGTAAGCTATTTAAAAGTCTTTACTTACGAACCGGAGACTGTCAAACAAAAATACCGTAAGTTGAACACGGGTACAGCTCTACAAGAGAACGCGTAATTAACGTCAGAAATTTATGGTAGCTACTGCTATAAAAGCGGTGTGTGTTTAAATTTTTTTAAACTATTCTCTTTAAGCATTTAACCTTGTGATTGCATATCCGATTTATTGAGTCCCCCTGACAACTAATTTTAACTTAAAATACATGATAAAGACGTAAGTTTAGATATATAATTTAAATTGATTGAATCGCTTAAGCCAGAAATAAGGGCGCCAAAAATAACATAGAATTTAAATAACATATACCGTGATAGTGCTTCCTCAAAAATAACTCCATGGCTAGCCTGTTGGCTACTCATGGAGTAAACGGCAAAAATTCGGCAGATAGTACCGGTTAGATGTACCCAGATAGGCCAATTGCGTAAAGGTTCTCAACCCTAATAGGCACATATCGTTTTGTGGCAGGGGTTCACCATCTAAAGCAATACTTGACACAATGGCAATAGAAAAAAGTGAAAACATTATTTTACATAAATAGACACTGAAAACTTACTTTTCGACGTTCGATACGTCGATATGTCATTTCTAGTGACAGGAACGACTGTGCACAACAGTTTTGGCGATCAAATATGTCAATGTGCGACGACTTTAAGTTCCCTAGTCAGTTCTCTCACAGACGGCTATATTGTTTTTTTTTCCAAGCTTACTTTCCACAATAATAACACACCACTCAGACGCCCGGAAAATGCCACTGTACTATCCTCTAGTAAAAAGCTAAATAGCACTCGACGTTAAGTTAGCTTAAAAGAAGTTAGGTGTTTTAGCTGCGACTTTGTGTCGAGGTTTCATTCGTGGCTTACTACTGAGCTACGGCAACGATAAAGCAGGCAACTTTCGTCGCTGATTAGGACATTATGCGGCCAACGAAAAATGTCCATAAGCAGAAACGGAACACGCAGACTGGATTCCATGTGGACTGCACTCGCAATATGTAGAATCTACAATGAGACCCACATCATTGGCTAGTCAAAAAAAACAACCACATACCTAATCATTGGGCCCGTTACTACTCAGCCTGCGGCCTTCGGTCAGTCGACCAATGGTGGTAAATGCCATCCACAGCTGATAAAACAGCATCTTCTAGCTCATTCATATTTATTCAAATTCTATTGTGTAGAAGCCGATGGCTATTAACACATAGGAAATGAATAGCTAGCGCAGAATGGGGTCAATCGGCAATCAAATTACGGCGTTTGGTACTAAATGTACGTATAGAAAAATATGCCACCGCAGTTAAGTAAACGACCTTTGTAAAACCCAATTTGAAGTCTTTGAACGCTATACTTGTTATTTTGTATGCATTTACGCTACTAGTTCATTCGAAAATAGTTTACGATTGTCCAAGAAACAGAAGACTTAACTCCAACTAATTAAAGCTATTTTCGTGCATGTCCTTGTCGAGCAGATCTGGTCTCTTTTCGAACTAATCGGGTCTATGGTCCAATGAGCTGAACGTTCAGATTCGTATATATGATTCTCTCTAGCGGCAATTGTCTTCGGAATAAGCTTGTGAGCTCGTTTATGTTGTCCTTAAGAAGCCGTCATGGTTCACCACAGAAGCCATTCTTCACAACGGTATACAATAATAAATAATAATATAAAAGAACGTGGGAACGTACTTCCCTGAAATACAAAAATTTCAGGAAGAGTCTAGAAAGAAGAAGAAGAAGAAGAAGAAGAAAACGAACTTCACGCACTGAATAAATTATACACTAATATTTCTAACGTGCTCAACATGGTTAAGTGCATGCACGTGTGGCGTTCTAGTGCGTTCCTGCTATTGTCGACTGGTAATCCTGTCCGATCTCCAACAAATACTGGATTTTACCCCATAGAGCATAAACTTTTTTATCACGTTGAATGATGTTGTAAATAAGGCCAAAAAGATCACTGAAACCGATACAAATCTGAGGACATCTCTAGCACGTGCCTGTGGGGTCTATAACCGAGTCGATTAGAAACATCTACAGCAGAAATCATATGATGATACTAATGATCTTGAATAAATTTGGCTAAAATAAGGCGAAAAAAGAACAATAAGATCGCAACTAGGCACCTCGGATCCACTCTCTTCGCAACAATCCACGATACATTAAAAGGCGTGCAACGCTATTCTGAGCTTATTACGTCTATTTTAGACTACACTTAACCAAAAGGTAAAATTTCCATACCTATAGCGAGAATATTAGCAATGCTTAATTTTTAAGAGAGGTTTTAGCTTTAATTAAGCATCGGTTTAAAGTAACGGTTCAGCATACTATTATCAGTCTGCTGAAGGATTACCTTATTTAGCTCTAAATGATCTCGGAGAAACTTTGAAATGATCGAGTGAAAAGGGCGGAAGGCATCAATTTTTACCCACTGAGAATAAATAATTATACACACAACAAAGAACCAAATCATGGGTCACATAAATAAACGAAGTACACCCAAATAAGAATTTCTAATGTGATTTGTCTAAAACATTTTGAATGCGAGTCCTTACAACGTCAGGAGATGGCGGTTTCGGGGGTTTGCAACTCATCCCGAGAGGCTATGCAGATATGCCAATTTTATCAGTCGAGCATTCGACTTCGTGGGGGTCGATGAGGTAGACGAACAAGCCACGAAACATCATCCACAATAGATTACAAGTATTTTTAATCTAATGCTTATAGCTAAATTTTCAACACACGAAGCCATCGATATGAAATGCTAGCATGACACCAGGGCTTCAAGTTAACAAGGCTTGTGCAAAACATCTACTGCTGCGTTTGTTGAAGGCACAATATGGTTGCACGATTCACCACTGGTCTTTTCTTTGAGCTGCTAGACCCAACTGAGTCATCGTCGTCGTCGTCGTCGTTGAGTGCATATAGTTCACCACAATAAACAAGCTGTTACTTCGTCGAAGTTACACCGGTGGCGCTCAGAGCGTTTCCGACGAATAAATGCTGGCAAGATGAACCAGGGTATCGTCTCTGACCATCTACAAACCCGTTCTAGACCGGTGGCGGCGGCGGCGGCGGCGGCGGCGGCGGCGGCGGCGGATGCCGCAGTTGTTGTTGCGGCAGCATTAGATAAGGGGTTAGCGAAGAGTACCCTAACGTGTTTCCAGATGAATGCAGGAGTTACATAGAATTCGGATGATGGCGTGCACGTAGGCTCTAAACAACAAGTTGACCGTGTTTCCCGCGTCTACGTTGATCTCGCTCCAATGTCATGAATAACTATATAGTATGTAAATGGTTCAGAAATTCTTGAACGTACCTGTATGCAATGTTCGTCAAATTACCCAAGTTCGGAGACAATACGTATGTTGTTTTTCGTTTATCCTAAATATTTAAATAGCATAAATTGTAAGAAAAAAACAGGTGATAACAATGGTTTTCGAATAGCTATGTTCGGAACTACATTTGGAACTCACGTGGCAAACCCTGTAAGTGTTTGCGAATGACTGCATCATTAATGAATCTCTGATCACAAGGTCCCCTCTAGAGGCCCTTTTACTTGGCTGTGCGTAGACATTCTCGTTGTTTCGCTCGGTGTTATAGCATTCTGTACCGGCGCGACAAAGACTGCCTTCGGTTTCGGTTTTTCGATTTCGGTATTGGCTGTCAGGTATTAATCACTTGACCAAATTATTCCTTCTGTTTGAATCTTACTCATGCATCGAATGTTTTAGAATATGCTTCTATCGATTTCCAACGCCCTAACTTAACAACTTGTAGTGTAAAGTTAGAAAAAAAAAGCCACATTAAACTTTCAGCGTCTTCTAGGAGCAGTTATATGTGTTCAGCACTTAGTAGTCACGAAGCAATGTTTCATCGTTTATATTTCTTTTTTTGCTAACTAAATGTACCATTGATTTGTTTCAAAAGCAAGAGGTATTGGTCACAAATTGCGGGCCGTTGCCATGTTGCAGACATGTCATGCGTGACCCATTTTCGTTACGGCTAAGCGTGCCATTGGCTGTTAGTGACCAAAGCAGCCGATGCTGGTCGGCTGGCTGGCTGGCTAAGGCGACTGACATTGCTGTGACCAGGGCTAAATATTTCCCGTTTCTTCACATTACTATTGCACGTGCTGTATCTACGCCGATAGTTGTGGAGAACGCGACCAGCCGAAATTTCTACTGGCTACTGCCGGTGCTGCTAGCGACGATAATAGACCGCGGTTACGTGGCAACGTGCGCCTCAGTACGGTAATGCATAAACGTGCTGAGGTAAGTAAATATAGTACCTGATTGTATGTCCTGAACACGGTTAGCAACAACTGTCGTCGGACTGCGATAAAGATCACCTTCACGACACTTTTAATCAGCACAGGGTGGACGTCGTCTCGACAAAATCACTTGTTCTTGACACGACTCGTATATATCGTGTAACAGACAGTAGATCTAACTGAAATATCGTCACTTTTACGTTGAGGAAGCTTTACGACTATAGTTATTGCCTAGGCTGGCATACTCTCAAAAGAGCCCCGCTACAAAGTGATATTCGAAAACCCTTAGTTGTCTTTTAGACATGTGCATGTGATCACGATACGTAGACTAATTGAAACTACGATTCTTCTTCAATCTTCTAGTGTCTTCCAAACTTATTTCTTAAACACTACGCGCATCTCCCAGATGTATACATGCCTTTTACTAAGTGGGCTGACTATCCATTTCAGTGCAATCTAAGCACCAACCAGGAACCATCGCTCTCGTGCATGAAATCTTTTATACTGGAACAGCTTTGCTGACGTCCGTTAACAAACTTTTTTGCGCTTCAATTACCGCATTGCACCGATATGATATGAATTATTCAACATTACTTGTATAACTTACTCGATGTCAGTACCGATACAGTAATGTTGGCAATTGATTTTCATGTTTATTTATCTTTTAATACGTTCGGTGGTAGAAATATTAAAGGCGTTCACAAGTCGCAGTCGGGTAACCAGCTAAAGCATATAGAACAGTAATTTTTTAGTCCTATTAAAAAAAAAACAATAGATACCATCTTGAGTCTATATCGTGCACATTATACACTACCTAATATTGTTAGTCTCTAGTTGTTTTCCTCTAAACATTGAGGTCATCCACACATAATTCCATTCGGTTCCTACAAAGTACACTGAAGGAAATTAATACTGTTCATATCTATGATCTCCTCAACTATCTACTAACCTCGGACTGCAGTCATTCGAGAGAGACAGTTAAGAGAGGTTCTGCTCGTTAAAACGAATATGTGCAGTGCTAAAGCGAAATATCGCTTTGCTCTTCACCCTGCTCGTTCTTCCCTGATGGCAAGTGGCAAATATATCCTCCAATCAAAGATGATTGCTACAGTTCTTATTGCTTGTCGGACAGCTTCGCTAAGCATGTATCGGCACTCGATACTGGGCCCGGATCTAACCTCGATTCTTGCCCAAACGACTTTAGATAGTCTCGCTTCTTCGCGCCTATCTACTAGAGGCCTCAGCGGATAGGTCTTCGCAACAAATAGGCTTTTATTGCTGTTACACCACTGTGCGTCAGGCTATCGCTGGAGACATGAACGCGCGCACACCCTCCGATTAACAACAGTGATTTCTACACCGTACCAATGTGGTGTTCGACACTGCAATACAATAGGGAACTTGCTGGCGCATCTGAACTGTTATAGAACACCCATAAACACAGCACAGAATTGACACCCTCTCATATGATAACCGTTTGCGCGGCAACAGCCACAGTTACTGATCTCCCTGTGAATCAGCAGTAGCCAGATGATGACAATATGTCTCTCTGCATATATAAAATGAGGATTTCAGCGGTACCGCAAAGTGTGGACACGATATACGTGGCCGTAGGGAAATAGTTTATTCGTTGCGGGGACTCTGTTACGCAGACACGCACTCACTAAAAACTGACGTAGTAGACTATAAGCGTACACGGTCCGAGACTATCGTCCGACAAACAGATAGACCAGATATCTAGTTGAATTACGATACAGTGGAACTATCATAGCAGAAACAGGTGGCGCTGTGGCTCCTGGAATACTCTGTTTGGGCAACGACACGCAACAGGAACTTCGTTATTATTTCTATTCACAAATGTGATTTGTTTGCTTTTGTTGTTATCGTTCCTCCTATCGAGCGAACACAAACTGAATGGCATCGATCGCTCACTACCGACCAAGAGAACTGCACCCCCAGTAGCAGTCTGTTGTTGTGCCTGATGGCGGCCATATTGAAAATTTCCCCACCAAGGTCATAGGATTTGGCGGCTTTAAGCCAGCTACAAAAAATAGCTTTAACAGGTATTCAGCAACGCTGGCTACTAAGTGTACGAGATTTTACTGTTTCACGAGGTTCAGAGTAGGTTTAAAAAAATATGTGGTTCTCCAGCATATCATGAGTAAAGGATGAACACGTTTGATTAAATGTGTACACTAAAATGCCGAAAGGCTTAGCTCAAAATAGCGGAGCATCCGTGAGCCGGTCATTGTTGCCAAAACATTGTTCCGTCGGGCTGAGAGCAACTGGGTGGACGGGTTCGTTCGTTTCCCGTTATCAAATAACTCTATATAATGTTTATCGGTTCTGTAGCATAAAATAATAATGAGAATAAAAAAA